TTAGTTTCATAAAGTACATCACTAAATTAGTGTGACGACATCTTTGAGGTGTAAGTTCCAACTAAAATAATGGTGGTAATAAAGTGTCCTGCATTTAGCGATAAAATGTTAGTCCCCAATAATAAAGACAGATGTCAGCACAATGTATTCTGCTTTGATTATTTTAATATTAACCAAAAACTCAGGCAAGGCTATCAACATTTTGGGATTTGTGAATTTCGCTGTCAAAGGAGTAAACCACGAAACTCGAAAATTAAACATTTCGCTCCTGTATTATAGCCTATTCCTTTGCGTCATAGCGTTTTTGGAATGCCAAAGGACAGGGTGGGTAAACGGACGGCCGTCCGTATAGGTACCTCTTTGGTATACCTATACCTAGATTTTTGACGATTTTAATAAAGTATCTGTTCGCAATACACGAGTTAAATCGGCATAAGAGTACGCCACAATAAATAAGAATTTTAAATCGGTGATCATTTTAAAGACTTGAGAGTTAAGTTTCATGTGAGTTAGGTTAGATACAAGATTTGTAAAAATTTAAAACGCCCAAACTAATCTGACCTAACCTTCAATCAACTCCTTGAACATTATCTTGATACCAGATTTTTGACCTAACCTAACTAGCACGCTAACCTAACCTCACTTAAATTTTATTTTAACCTTCGATCTCTTCGCACATTATATTCTCCTGATACCAGATTTCTGAGCTAACCTAACTAGCACGCTAACCTAACCTCACTTAAATTTTATTTTAACCTTCGATCTCCTCGCACATTATATTCTCCTGATACCAGATTTCTGAGCTAACCTAACTAGCACGCTAACCTAACCTCACTTAAATTTTATTTTAACCTTCGATCTCCTCGCACATTATATTCTCCTGATACCAGATTTCTGAGCTAACCTAACTAGCACGCTAACCTAACCTCACTTAAATTTTATTTTAACCTTCGATCTCCTCGCACATTATATTCTCCTGATACCAGATTTCTGAGCTAACCTAACTAGCACGCTAACCTAACCTCACTTAAATTTTATTTTAACCTTCGATCTCCTCGCACATTATATTCTCCTGATACCAGATTTCTGAGCTAACCTAACTAGCACGCTAACCTAACCTCACTTAAATTTTATTTTAACCTTCGATCTCCTCGCACATTATATTCTCCTGATACCAGATTTCTGAGCTAACCTAACTAGCACGCTAACCTAACCTCACTTAAATTTTATTTTAACCTTCGTTCTCCTCGCACATTATATTCTCCTGATACCAGATTTCTGAGCTAACCTAACTAGCACGCTAACCTAACCTCACTAAAATTTTATTTTAACCTTCGATTTCCTCGCACATTATATTCTCCTGATACCAGATTTATGAGCTAACCTAACTAGCACGCTAACCTAACCTCACTAAAATTCTATTTTAACCTTCGTTCTCCTCGCACATATATTCTCCTGATACCAGATTTCTGAGCTAACCTAACTAGCACGCTAACCTAACCTCACTAAAATTCTATTTTAACCTTCGATCTCCTCGCACATTATATTCTCCTGATACCAGATTTCTGAGCTAACCTAACTAGCACGCTAACCTAACCTCACTTAAATTTTATTTTAATCTTCGATCTCCTCGCACATTATATTCTCCTGATACCAGATTTCTGAGCTAACCTAACTAGCACGCTAACCTAACCTCACTTAAATTTATTTTAACCTTCGATCTCCTCGCACATTATATTCTCCTGATACCAGATTTATGAGCTAACCTAACTAGCACGCTAACCTAACCTCACTAAAATTTATTTTAACCTTCGATCTCCTCGCACATTATATTCTCCTGATACCAGATTTTGAGCTAACCTAACTAGCACGCTAACCTAACCTCACTTAAATTTTATTTTTACCTTCGATCTCCTCGCACATTATATTCTCCTGATACCAGATTTCTGAGCTAACCTAACTAGCACGCTAACCTAACCTCACTTAAATTTTATTTTAACCTTCGATCTCCTCGCACATTATATTCTCCTGATACCAGGTTTCTGAGCTAACCTAACTAGCACGCTAACCTAACCTCACTTAAATTTTATTTTAACCTTCGATCTCCTCGCACATTATATTCTCCTGATACCAGATTTCTGAGCTAACCTAACTAGCACGCTTACCTAACCTCACTTAAATTTTATTTTAACCTTCGATCTCCTCGCACATTATATTCTCCTGATACCAGATTTCTGAGCTAACCTAACTAGCACGCTAACCTAACCTCACTTAAATTTTATTTTAACCTTCGATCTCCTCGCACATTATATTCTCCTGATACCAGATTTCTGAGCTAACCTAACTAGCACGCTAACCTAACCTCACTTAAATTTTATTTTAACCTTCGATCTCCTCGCACATTATATTCTCCTGATACCAGATTTCTGAGCTAACCTAACTAGCACGCTAACCTAACCTCACTTAAATTTTATTTTAACCTTCGATCTCCTCGCACATTATATTCTCCTGATACCAGATTTCTGAGCTAACCTAACTAGCACGCTAACCTAACCTCACTACAATTTTATTTTAACCTTCGATCTCCTCGCACATTATATTATCCTGATACCAGATTTTTGACCTAATCTAACTAGCACGCTAACCTAACCTCACTTAGTTTTTATTTTAACCTTCGATCTCCTCGCACATTATATTCTCCTGATATCAGATTTCTGAGCTAACCATGGGCTGCATTTACTCTCAAGATTCACTCGGAACAGAATATGCGTTTATTTTGTTTGTACAGTTTTCAATATAAAAATTATTTACAGAAGTTGTACTTTATTTTCCTCCCCAACAACAAAACTGATAGGAAGATTACAGTACAATAAGCACTTGGTCCTTCACACTTTGCCAAAAACACTTACAAATTTGGAAGGTATCAGGAAGATATAACGTGAAAGGAGGTCTTTCAGTCCCAAATACACCTGTTCTTTGTAGACAAACTTACGTAAAAGTGTCTTGCTACTAGGAGAACAGAATTCACGGAGAGGTCTTTTTCTATCACTATGAGAGTTATTTCAAAGCTTAATTTCGATTTAAAAATTTGCCATTCTGTATCGGGATCATATGATGTGCGAGGAGGTGTTTCTTTTCCTAATACTACACCTGTTACTTGTCGACAAACTTATCCAAAGGTTACAAAAGTTACAGCCCTTTGAATTTTCTTTCGAAATTGGTTTCTAGTCTATAACTTTTGATTGAGAAGTCTGATCGAAAAAGTACGAATTGTTTTGGATTCTACGCACCAAAATTAATAAGAAAAAGTGTTTTCCCGAGAAATTTTGGTGCAGTCGATTTTTGGTAAAAAAGGAAGGTTATACACTGCCTTTTTTGGAGGCCGAAAAAAAATTGTCTCAGATCGACCCGGAAAAAAATTTTTCTTATAGAATGTGGCCTGTAGAATCCATAATTTCAAACAGTTCCAAGATTGGGCTACTAGTTCAAAAGTTACAGCCCTTTGAATTTTCTTTCGAAATTGGTTTCTAGTCTATAAACTTTGATTGAGAAGTCTGATCGAAAAAGTACGAATTGTTTTGGATTCTACGCACCAAAATTAATAAGAAAAAGTGTTTTCCAGAGAAATTTTGGTGCAGTCGATTTTTGGTAAAAAAGGAAGGTTATACACTGCCTTTTTTTGAGCCCCGAAAAAAAAATTGTCTCAGATCGACCCGGAAAAAAAATTTTCTTATAGAATGTGGCCTGTAGAATCCATAATTTCAAACAGTTCCAAGATTGGGCTACTAGTTCAAAAGTTACAGCCCTTTGAATTTTCTTTCGAAATTTGTTTCTAGTCTATAACTTTTGATTGAGAAGTCTGATCGAAAAAGTACGAATTGTTTTGGATTCTACGCACCAAAATTAATAAGAAGAAGTGTTTTCCCGAGAAATTTTGGTGCAGTCGATTTTTGGAAAAAAGGAAGGTAATACACTGCCTTTTTTTGTCCCGAAAAAAAAATTGTCTCAGATCGTCCCGGAAAAAAATTAAAATATAAAGTCACTGTAAAGACACATCACTGAAAAGAAACTGATCAGTGAGGAATAAAGACTGCGTTCATAATACTCCATGTCGAAGTAATTTACTTATTCAATGGTGTCGGTCATGTTTTTTCCAATTTATGATTTCGCTGATTGGTTTAACCGAATGAGATACAATGAGACACTATTTTTAATGATTATTGTTGATTTAAATTAGCTTAAACAAATTAAAATAAACAAGAATAAATAAACAGATGACTGTATGACTGCTTCAAACACTCGAAATCCAAAAAAATAAAACCGCATCATAGTACCTATCACACATCGAATATTTAAATTAAATTTAATTTGAAAGGAATCGTTTTATTTTTAGCGCATTTTTTCAAATTTATTTGTAAAAACTCACTTTGGCTGGCTGGCTGGCAGCAAACGTGGGCGCGTAGAAGAACTCTTGTAGAAAGGCAACGAGTGTACGTGTATTTACAAGGCCGTGTAATTTGTCAACCTTAGGGACAGGGCTACATGATTTGGGGTTGACTACATCTGGGCGTCATCCTCGAGCGTAGTTTACTAACGTGAAGGTTTTTCAGTTTTTCCCTATCTTCTACTACAGTTTTGGTCCGATTGTTTTCAAATTGGTATCGTCGAAAAGATGTTGTAAACGCGCACAACTCCTGCGTGGCGGAATTTTGTTTTTTATCCTAGGGGCGAAATTAACAACCTTTTGCGAGTACGTTACCTATTTTATACAGGGAGGGTAATTGTCAAGCAATGCACGTCTTTATTGTTGTTTCGCTCCAAAACACGACACAAAAGGCCATAATTGCATTCTCGATTTCCAAATGTTCAATTTATTTCCTTTCCTGCAAAGATATCGTATGGAAAGTCGTGCGCATGTTTTTACAAAGTAACTATTATGGTTATTTTACTATCTATGTCGTGTTGTTTAACATTTAACAGTCGAGATATGGCTCGGACGTGACTCAATAAAATATCTTTTGTCTGTATCAGTCTCGGTTCAAAAATCTTGCTATGCTCTGTGAACATTGAATGCTTGTGTAATGTGTGTTGCATGCAGCTAAGGTGGGGTGTGTCTGTATTCGATATTTATTTCGTAAGCATAATAAATTGTTTATATTTATATGTATTTATTTGCTAATTATTTGTGGCAAGGTTATTTTACAGTAATAAGTGCATTCTCTTGTGTTATTTACTGTACATTACGAGAAGAGACTTGATTATATTGATAGAAGGCTTACAGTTGGAGATTGTCTTTCCATAGGCAGAGGAAAATAAATCTTTCTAAACTGGCTCTGCATATTATTATTAAAGAAGCGATAGTTTTGAATTCAAATTTGTTAAGGATATTTGTAAATATCGTATTCGTACTTATAGAATCCATAGTGTTGAAGTTAAAATTACCTACTGTAAGAGACAACTAGAAAAAAACCTCTGAAAGCATCATAAAATTTAACAAACCCCGTTCTTTTGATAATCCGCATAACCCACGCGTTATATGGATTCTTTAAAACAACATAAAAGGACAGCAATAATTATTTATCAAGTTAATTATTGCACTAGAGTAGAGAGGGTGTTAATAATCCACAATCCAAATTAACAAAAAATGGTTGTTAGTTAAGATTCTCTTAGTTACTACCTTTGAATATAATTTTTAATCAAAGGCACTGGTAGATTAAACCAAGAGCTTCGAACCCCATCGCATCTAAACTGTATTGAATACAAAAACGGGCAAAAATCTAAATGATTTTTCTTGTAGATTCCATTCTGATGGGCGAAACAATGAATCATCATCAATCAAGCACAGGCGCCGGTTAGTACCTTTTACATACAGTCCATTTCAACCTTCTAATAACCACTTTTTAGTGTTAAAATTTTCGTTTTCGATTAATTTATTACTGTACACGATGGTAGTTTTGCTGACAATAGTTTCAACTGGCACCCCGCCAGAGCAAGTCGTCCATGTTATTTTAAAGCTCGATGAAGAAAACATACCATTTCGCAAGACAAATAATATGTTCTTGAGTACCGCTTTGGATTCAGTACTAATAGCCCATGGATTCCAAAATTTCAATATGAGGTGAGTAGCTGTAGGTATCGTTTAGTATTTCAAACTGTGCTTGGTCTTCTGGTAGCGATCCTAAACTGGTGAAGCTAATGAAACCTTTAGCGCCAGGTTATCTCAGAATTGGTGGCAACATGGCCGATCGATTGTGGTTCGATCCCAGTGGTAAATTTGTTTCCAAAACTCAACAAGTGATTGAAAGCGATGGAGGCGCTTGTGCAAATGAAGAAATCGACTGCGATGTGTACGATAGACCAAACTTCACAATGACAGGTAAATGCGTTGGTTGTTTAAATAAATGCAGAAACGTTTTGCTTTTGTAGCAAAAGAATGGACACAGCTAAACAGTTTAGCCAAAAAAGCAGGACTAACGATCCTTTTCGACATTAATTGCTTAATTCGTTTCCCGAACGGATCGTGGAATTCCAAAAATGCGGAGGAATTAATCAAATTCTCGGCCGATCGCAATTTTAGTATAATTTGGCAGTTGGGCAACGGTGAGTTTGGCGTTCATTCACAACGTTTTGCTACTTTTCCACCTCTTCCAGAACCGAACGCGTTTCGCCATGTCTTCGACTATGAGGTGAACGCCACGCAGTTGGCTAAAGATTTCGCGAAGTTGCGAAGTATCTTGAATCGTTACCCGATTTATCGAAAATCTGAGTTGGTGGGACCGGACACTACGAGACCGATTATTAAGCGCAACGCAAGCATGGCGTATTTGCATGAATTTTTGTTACATGGCAAGAATGTTATCAATGCGGTGACGTGGCACCAGTAAGTTTTGTGAGTCTCTACAACGTTAATTTCCACGAAGTTCCTCAGATATTATTTTAATGGACGAAACGCGAGCATATCGCAGTTTTTAGATCCGGAGGTATTTAATTTATTGCAAACCCAAATTGGGTACATCAAAGACATTGTCAAAAGCGCTGGTGCTACAAGCAAACCGATCTGGTTGGGTAGGTGGCGTTCAAAGGTGCAATGAAACAATCATATTTATAGGGGAAACGTCGTCGGCTTACGGCGGGGGTGCCCCCGGTTTATCAAATTCTTTCGTCGCGACGTTCATGTGGCTGGACAAGCTGGGAATTGCTGCACGAAATGGACTCGATGTAGTTGTACGACAGACCTTGTTTGGGAGTAATTACTCCTTGCTGGACGAAAATCTTCAACCATTACCCGTAAGTTTCAGCAGACGTGTACTTGTTATTTGCGTAATGTTGTAGGACTGGTGGGTGAGCGTCATCTATAAAAGAATTGTAGACTCGCGAGTCATCCCTTGTTACCCTACCAGCTCCACTACAGTCAGGATTTACTGTCACTGCACTAAGAAGCGCATTTTCAGTTTTTATTCACCATTCGTTGTTGGTAAGCTGCTAATAAAATGTCACCGCAATTAACCAAGTTTTGTAGTGTTTGGGTTAAATGTAAAAAAGTCGCCAATGCAGATAAAAATACAAGGCTACCAAGGGTACGTCTGGGAGTACAGTTTAACTAGTAAAGGATCTCTTGTATCAAAGTAAGTATGGGTGAATTTTTACAGTACGCATCACTAAAAACCCACACTTTTAGAGACATATTGCTAAATGGAGAAAAGTTGTCACTTGCAAATGATGGAACTTTGCCGGATTTAGATCCAGTACTTGTTAACGCTCATCCCTATCTCCAAATGCGGCCATATTCTCTTACATTTTGGATTATACCCCTGCACACTTCCAGTTGTCCAATTTAGCGTTATAATAAATCACTTATCCCAATGTGATTGTATAATAATCAATAAATAATCTCGTTTTACTCGTTCATTTTGGGTATGTTACATAAATAGTTTCATCGTTGCTTGTTACCATTTTTATCAGTACCTCCCTTTAAGACACGCTTCTCAGTTTTGTATATTAATGTCAAATGTAGGTTCATCATCTAATCCAGTAAACATACTTATGGCCGTTTGCACCGACAAATTTAAGTGGAGCTTAGCTTAAGCGTAGCTTAAAATCCATGGCAACGATTATTTAGACAATGGTTGCTTAATCTACGCTCCGCTTAAATTTGTCGGTGCAAACGGGCATTAGAAACTTATTTTGTTTGTTTGTTGTTATTTATTTTGTTGATTTTCAGTGCCTTTTTGCAAATCTTTATACCTAAACCTCTCGCCAGGAAAGATTGCCGGTCATATAACACTTGATCCCGGGCTACAATCTATGTTTTTCTAAAAATGTGAGCGACTTCCGGGATAGTATCGTGTCAATGTTGAACAAAAAGACTTTTCACGATCCTATTCCGGAAGTCGCTTGCATCTTTAGAAAAACATAGATCGTAAATCGACTCAAGGTGTGCTGTGACCGGCAATCTTTCCTGGCGAGAGTTATATATAAAATTCTCCTGTACGTGAGGAATTCAAAAATGCCATAAGAAAAGATAGTGCCATTTGAAATAAGAAAGTTCCGGTATCGTTCTGATACAACCGGAAAAGCGGCCATCTTGAAAACATTTTTAAATGATTCCTTTTGATCGATTATTCAAAAAAGGTAATGGGACCACGAATCAAAATTCCAAACAGTTCCTGAGATACTTCTAATGGTCCACTTAAAAACACCACCCTGTACTTGTGAGTATTATACTTATAGATTTGGCGGTTAATGCCATATACCCATTCCCTTAGAGAATAATGACCAGAGATTAATAGCTCTAAAATTAAAAAGTTACTTATAGTCCAGGCTATATAATATTTTTGTATGAAAAAAATTAGTTACCGGGCGAAACCGGATTTTTCAGGCAGGTGGAATGAATAGAATTTGGGAAAAAATAATTAAAACAGCTGAATTATTCCGCGAGTGAAATCACGGGGGTTGGAAGGGGTGGAAAGTGGTATTTTGCAAATTGTGGTAAAACTATTGATTTTAGACGAAAATGTTAAATGTAAAAGTTATAGAGATTAAAAACATGAGCAACTTTTGTATCTGCACTATTTTCACATAACCGGAAAAAGTGTTTTTTTCGTTTTTTATTCTTATTTTTGCGAAAAAATGTCGTAGGGGTTTGAAATTTGGAGATAACATAGCCTGTTTTATGATAAAACAGAGGATAATTGTTTGGGCCCATAAAGTTGAACCGTTTCCAAGAACTCACGATTTCTGAAAAAAACCACCTCTTTTTCAAGGGGATGAAAAATCTATTTTTTTTTCATCGTACAGAGGTGCACGGGGTAGCAAAATTTTCGGGAAGATTTATATTTTAATAAACAAAAATAAAAAAATATTATTCCTATAGCAAAAATTCGAGAAAATCGCCAAAAACCTGAAAAACAGTTTTAAGATATACACGGTTTTTGACATGATAAATCAACATGTTGGATGTTAATAAAGATTTTTTCGAAACCTGTCTTCTTCCTTCTCTTTAATGTTTGCCTAAATATTCTCTTTTGTTATCTTATGCTCAACTGTTTTAGTTAAAACATCTTCATTATTTCTTTTTTCTGCATTTTTACCGCAATAAAAGCAATTCGAAATAAAATCGAATTATGTAACTTGCTTCCTGATTCTTGAACAATTTATTTTTGTTCACTGACTCTTCTTCCTGCTTGTATTATAGCTGATTGAATTGCGTTGGGCCTGTTGATAAACTTGCAAAATCTGCAATAAGAACGTTGGTTTTACCGGCCAAAGCAAATGATTTGAGATGTCAAACCTGCAGGAATAAACTTTATGAGGATTTTATTCATAATTCCTGTAAATTAACGATCAACAGGCCCAGCTTAATCCCATCAGCTGTAAAACAGGCAGGAAGAAGAGTTAGTGAACAAAAACAAATTGTTCAGGAAGCAAAAGAATTCGATTTTACTTCGAATTGCTTTTATTGCAGTAAAAATGCGCAGAAAAAAGAAATAATAAAGATGTTTTAATTAAGGCAGTTGGGCACTGGGAACAAAAGAAAATATTTTAGCAACATTAAAGAGGAGAGAGAAGACAGATTTCAAAAACTTTTTATTAGCGCGGATCCAACACGTTAATTTATTTGCAAAAAAGCCTATTTACCTACTGTCAAAAACGGTGTATCTTAAAACTGTTCCCCCGTTTTTGCCGCTTTTCTTGAAATTTTTCTATTGGAAATAATATTTTTTATTTTTGATTATTAAAATGTAAGTCGTTACGAAAATTTTGCTACCCCGCGCACCTCTGTACGATGAAAAAAAATAGATTTTTCATCCCCTTGAAAAAGAAGTGATTTTTTACAGAAATCGTGAGATCTTGGAAATGGTTCATCTTTATGGGCCTTCTGTTTTATCATAAAACAGGCTATGTTACCTACAAATTTCAAACCTCTACGATTTTTTTTTTCGCAAAAATAAGAATAAAAAACGAAAAAAACAGTTTTTCCGGTTTTTCTAGGAAAATTGGAGATTATGTGAAAATAGTGTAGATACAAAAGTTGCTCGTTTTTTAATCTCTATAACTTTTACATTTAACATTTTTGTCTAAAATCAATAGTTTTGCCACAATTTGCAAAATACCACTTTCCACCCCTTTCAACCCCCGTGATTTCACCCGCGGAAAAATTCAGCTGTTTTAATTATTTTTTTCCAATTTCTATTCATTTCACCTGCCTGAAAAACCCGGTTTTGCCCGGTAACTAATTTTTTTTTAAAATAAATCATTTTAGAGCTATTTAGCCTGGACTATTAAATTAATATCATCTATGGAAACAAAACAAACAAATGCAAATGTGTAAATATCAAGCGGGTTGTGTTTCTGTTTGTATATTTGTATTAAAATGGATAAAATATCGAGTAATTAAATTAGTCGTAGATAAAGTAGAGTATATTACCTCGGAATTATACTTCCTCACAGCAGACGCGGCTCGGTGCGTAAATATTCCTCGAGAATAATAGCTATCAACATCGTGATATAATTTGCATCACTGTAGTGGGTATTTTTACCTAATATATTAGTCCTCTGTATTAGTGGCGTACATAAGAACAAATTCATTTCATAAATTGGTCCATAACTTCCTACGAGGCGAATAGTCCCAGGCAGTGGGTACCGACAAAGGAAACTTACACCTTCGATCTCCCACGAGGACTTTGATAATTTTTTATCAATAAGAATATTTAAACAATTCCCTTCTAAGCATCCTTAAATAATAGTCTCCCTCGTTCCCATTAGTATTACGGCTTTCTAAGGAAGGAAAGTAATTTTGGTGTCCAATCTTTGTTGAACTCGAAATGGGGTTGTATGATAATTATTAGGAAGTGAACACAAAACCTTCCCCATACAGTTGGAATAATCTTTAATTGTAATGCGACATGTTTCGGCTAACAAGCCATCATCAGGCCTAAAAAGTTGTACGATTACAAATTTGTCTCACAAGAGTGATAAAACTTATAAGATGTTTATAAATATTGATAATACAAGTTAAAAATTAATCGACCCTGACGGGGACGAAGAATTGAGCAAGATAAAGATCGGGAGTCCTGAAGGGAACAACCGACCGAAGAACACAGCAACAACTAAAACTTAACGATTAATAATCTCTAACATAGCAATTATAACTTACAATGAGAGGTCGACCCACAATCGGTACGACATCGAACAAGTAAAAGGTCCAAAGGCCCAGACGGGGGGAAGAGGACCGAGCAAGTGAAAGGTCAAGAAACCCTGAAGGAGTAACTAACCGAAAAACTACGTCAACCACCAGTGGCGGATTTACATATAGGCACACTAGGCACGTGCCTAGGGGCGGCAGCTTTAGAGGGCGGCATTTTTTGCACTACATTTATTTTAGGTAACATTTTAAGTTTTAAAATACGTCCCCTATACAAATGGAAAAAATCTTTAATGAAAATGATGAAATAAATTGGATTGGTAGATATAGATTAAACAAACTGTAAGAACGATAATCGACAATGCAAGTTTTGACGTGTGTGAAAACTTAATCTTACGTATACTGTATTTCTTTTAATATTAGTTTTAAAAATTTCAAGTTATAATTTGATTTTTATTACCATCTTAAAATTTATTGCAATTTAAAGATTATTTTGGGGCGCATATCTTTCGGTGTGCCTAGGGGCGCAAAAAATTTAAATCCGCCACTGTCAACCACATCAAATCTAAAATAAAGAATATGTTAACATAACCTATCTCGGCGGAAAAACCTTACTTACAGATTGAAATAATTACTTAACTAGACAGAACACGGTCGAAATTAAAGATTTCGCCCACTACACAGGAAGGGAAGTAAGTTTGTCAATTATTTTTAGGCGATGATACTTGTAAATTTATTACTAATCAGAATATTTAAACAATTCTCACCTATAACCATCCCCAAAACGCTGCGCTAAATGTAAAGCTGTGGTTGGTATAGTCACGTACATTTATGTACATTTTTTGTACCTTTGTAGTTAGGTAGAGAGTTAATTAAAAAACGCCCTTGTGGCATCTCTCTATCATAATACATTTAATCGTTCTTATTAGTAGTTGCAATAGCAATATTAATATTGAATGTAAGTGAGAATACTTATTTTTCTTACAAGTAGCTAAAACAGAGTTTTTTGGGATAAAAACATAATGATTTCCCAAAAAACATTTTAGATACGTGCCACAAACAACATTTTTTTGGTAAAGCTCCAAAAAACACATTAACAAACCCCTTAATACGACTATATTCGTATTATTGTATCCTTTACATTACACACAATTTATTATATCTTATTTCCCTATACTTAAACGATAATCCGAGATGATCACCAATAGTTTCATGGTTACTTTTTGGAATTGAGCTCGGAAAGGACTCATTTTACGGACACTTTTGAGTGTTTTTTGGAGCTTGTACAAAAAAAGCTTTAATCGGAGGTCCCTTTCCTTAATCCACAGTTTCCTTGATAAAATCGTGACGGGTAAGAAGTATTTTTATCGGTTTCTGGATTGGGCTTTTATTTTAAAGCAGTGATCATGCACAAACCACACATGTAGGATGAAGGGCAACTTGTGGCCAAAAGGAAATCATGGATAACATCGATGGGTATCCTGTAAGAGTGTACATTCCTTTTTAAGGAAGAGGGAATATTCTATTACCAGTTAAGTTACTATAAACTGAGAAGACAGACATTGTTATATCGTGTCCCTGAAGATTATATTTGGGGAGGTTCCACGGTACGTCGATTATACTTATATTAATTAAATTAGGTATAATTGTGAGTAAATACGTATACAGGGTGTTACGGAATTGGCGCCCACGGACAATGGGGGCTGAATTCTGCGGAGAATAAATAATAAGTAAATACATAAATCATAACAAAAGCACTGTATCGAAAACTGAATGTAATCGACTAGCGGCCAGGACTTTCCGTTTCTTTTCCGAAAGATACCATGACAAGGCGCGATCCACAGTGGCTACAATTCGCAAATTACTACAAAATTACAAGAATAACGGTATTTTTCAAACAAAAGTACAAAAAAAACCTGTCGTTGACTCTGAAGAACAAGAAATGACTGTACTGGCTTATTTTGCTGCAAATCCAACTGTATCGCTGAATGATATTCAAAGAGAAATTGACATATCAGACACGAGTGCACAAAGAATACGTAAACACCATAAATGGCACCCATATTTGTTTAAAAAAGTGCATTGTGTGTATAATATTTTGCACACAGCTGTATTTTCATTCGTCGCTCAGGCAACAGTAAGAATTATGGTATTCTCAGCTCTCCAACGGAACTTCAATTTTGAGTTTGAAGTCGGAATTCACTATTATTAGGAAAACAATATTATAATTGTTACAGTCAGTGAGTAAAAGTGCTATCACGTAAAATCTACAGTTACGTATCGAAGTTCTAAAAGACGTCAATAATTTAAAACGAGCCAATTCAGCTGTTTGTTTATCAGATTTTGTTTCAGGTAAGGATGAAAAAAACTTAGCTCGGGTTTAATTCAAAGAAGAAACTACTAACTGTAAGAGTGAGATTAAGTGAAGAGTCGATCATGATATAAAATATAGCTTCGTTGAATTGACTCTTCAGATTTGCTGGCATTAGAATCGTGCTCGAGTACGTCCTCACGACAAGCAATAACTTTGTCCTTTGCTTTTACTACCCTTACATCTCACTCATGAAATCGTTCGTTCAGTTACATTGAGCAAATTTAATTTTTCTTCGGATGATACCAGACCATCACCCCAAATCGAGCCACCTCTCTTCGAGCGAAAGTGTCAAATTCGCGAATAGGTATTTGAATACAAAACGAATGCTTGCACATTCGAAATTTTGGGCGTCACGACGCATGACCGATCAACTTGACCAATAATATAAAATTGCGCGCAGAAAAGTTCCTCTTTCACGTTTTCATTGGTTTTTCTCATCATACGTCAGCGATGCTTGATATTCAGGTTCGTGCCGAAATCTCTTATATTGTCAACGTGGAAGTTGGGAAATTAAAGCGCGTGTTTTTTTGGTAAATTTGTTTGGCAAGAATTAAACGTAAGATGTATCCGTGAGATGTGTTCGGACTATTTCAATAAGGTATGTATGTATAAATCATATTTTATACAACTTTTCGCTTCCAACGATCATGTCTTGGCCAAACTTTTAATTTGTACCAGTAAGATTACCTAAGTTCCAATTGGTTTGTTATATTTTCAGATTTTTTTAGTAAAATTCATTGCTTTAAGCTAACGCTCCCCTATAATGGCAAATATAAGCTTATGAATTGCTCTACATTTACTTAGGTAGTCGTTACAGCAAAAGTATACGAGTAGCAGGAAACACTGCAACTTTTGTGGGCGATGAAGCAAAAAAAACTGAAACAGGAACATCAAGAAACCAAAATAAAACTTTCATAAACCGAACGCGTTTCGACAGCAAAGCTGCCAGCGTCAGCGAATAATTGAAAAGAAAAGACAAAAATCATTTTGATACTAATGGGCAATTACTTCGATATCCCTTAGGGAGCGTTTGTTTTTACAATCTAATCTCTCATAACAATACCTAATATTAATGTACCTAATTCACCCTAAATATTTATTTACTCAGGTAAAGAAATATTATTTTCCCGAAATCTTTGTGAAACCTTCATTTTCGTGCCTATTTTTTTTAGTTCCATGACAGTGGCATTAACAATTTTATTTGTTACTCAGTTGTAAACGTTGATTAACAAGACAAAACGCAAACGGGTAAACGTCATGTTTGAACGATACTGACTTGTAAAACTGACAGCTGACCTGTAAAAATTTTACAAGTTAGTAATCTAGTAATTTCATTGGCCAGAATTAATGCGAAGTCTCTGTTACATGGATAACATGATATTTTAGACATTTCTTCGAGATCAATTTATGAACTAATTATTTACGTTTACTATTGTTTACAAATGAGTAACAAATAAAATATTGTACATTTTACGCCAGGTAATAGTTTTTACTGGCGATAGGAGAAGTTGACTGGCGAGCCGCAAAACTCACTTACCTGGCTAATAATGTAAAATACTATTGCTGACTACTTTTCCTGTCACTTTACCAGACTCCTGTCACAACTGACACCTTAATAAAAAGTTCTATGCGAAAACTGAAATTTTATATTAAAAAAGACGATTTCGGGAAAAGTTTAATACAAAACTTGTCAGTAAAATGACACTACTTGACTCGGAAATAGAAACTTATGTAAGTAACTGGTACCTATGATTATTTTATGCGTATATGTGCGACTATTCGAGATTTATTTTATTTTTTTTATTTATTTACCAGAGACGCTTAAAGCGAACAATGTGCTCTATAGAGAACGATTCATGAACGATCTTTTCTATTGGCATATGTTTGAAAAGGTGTTTGAAAAAGTGTTATTTAATCAAATTCAGAATTTCCTAGATTTATCACGTATTCTTCCCGAACATCAATCTGGCTTTAGAAAGGGATACAGTTGCGAAACGGCATTACTTAAAGTTACTGACAACATTTTGTCTGCTGTCAACGAGTCCAAGTTTGTAGTCTTAATATTATTGGATTTCTCGAAAGCGTTTGATACGATTGATCATGATATTTTATTAGCAATACTACATTATATTTGCTTTGACCCGAATTCTATTACACTTCTCCGTCATTATTTAAAAAATAGGAGCCAATTAGTTGACATTAATGGGAAGACTTCAACAATGATTAATTTGCGATGTGGTGTTCCCCAGGGTTCTATTTTAGGGCCTCTGCTTTTTTCAATATATACTGCTAATATTATAAACAAATTAAAATATAGCAATTACCACCTGTATGCTGATGATACGCAGTTATATTATGCATTTTCTAAAACTGAAGTTGAGAATGCAAACGGTGAAATAAACGAAGATTTAATTACCTTCCTAAATTACGCTGAACAACATTCATTACATATTAACCCCAGTAAATGTAAGTTGCTATTGTTTGGTGCATCACACAACACAGCTACTCGTGCCGAAGTTTCCTCACTCTTAGATATAAGAATCGGAAATAAAAAATTAGAGTTGGTTCAGGAAGCCAAAAATCTCGGGCAAAGCTTAAACGCGAATTTCAATTATCAAACGCATATCAAAAATTGTTCACAACGGGCGTTTGCTGGCCTTAGATATATACATCGAATTAAAGGTTTACTTTCTCGCAATTCAAAAATTATGCTCTGTCGATCCCTCGTGCTATCCCATTTTTCATTTTGTAGCGCAGTGTATGGCCCCTGTCTTTCTAAATTTCTTGAAAGAAGAATACAGATTATTCAAAATTCATGTGTTCGTTTGATTTATGGAATTAGGAGGTTTGAAAGGGTTTCTTACAAGTTAAAGTGTATACCATGGCTAAACATGGAAAAAAGTCGACTTCTCTACTCTGCCACTGCATTTCACAAAATTATCTTGTTTAAATCACCACCTTATTTATATAATAAAATTACATTTCGAACAGATGTTCATAATATTAATGTTCGTCGGAAAGATTTGATTACCATTCCTAACCATAACTTAGAACTATTTAAAAAGTCATTTTCATATAATATAGCCAAGATCTATAACTCACTTTCGTCGAACGTTAAAGAATTAGCACCATCTAAATTTAAACAAAAAGTTTACCACGATCTTTTAACATCTTATAGTTACCAATCTACTTTCAAGTTACTCTGTTTCTAAAGTTTATTTGTGTATTTTTTTTTTCTTGTTAATTTAGACCATCATTTATTAATTTTAGTTTGCTATTAAACGGGTTAAGTGGAAGAGCACAAAGGGCTGCATGCCTCTTAGTGAACTTCGCCTTTTGGACCCCAAGTTGAATGTATAATATTGGTATTGTTTATATATTTGTCATAGTGTGTCCAAATAAAGTCATTATTATTATTATGGTCGGTGTTTCTTGTGAGAACTCAGGTCTAGCCTGGTTAACTAATCGCACGGATTAAAATCAAGTAACGATTAGTGTTTGTATCTGTGTCTGGTGAAGTTATGTAGGATTCTTAAAAAAAAATTTAAAAAAATAAAATAAAATAAAAATTATTATTATTATTATGTACGTTAGCAAAGACTATCCTCTGGTTATACTCAGGAAAAATTTAGAACAATCGTGTTTTACTTAGCAAACCAGTGCCTCATAGAAGGGATAAATTTATCAAATTTTTTCATTACCACTTTGTATTTATTAAAAATGATTCATGACCGAATTTACAGTACTGATGTATAACAACGAATCAATAAGAAAAATTTCGTGCGTCTTGTTTGGTAAGAGTTAAAAGGTCCAACAGCAGACTTTAGCTATTCATTGTACGCCAATTACAAAATTTCCGCTTGTGATTCCTTGACAAGGACCCAACTCATTAAATATCCAATTCTAGCTTTGTAATTTGAACAAATATCCTGCAAATTGTCATGTAACCTGCCGTTAATGAAATTCGTTTCTTTCTTAATTTAAAATTTTTCGTTTGCAAAATTCGTTTGCTCAATTCGATGTAATACAGTTTGAATTTTAACGCCAACACATTTTAAATTTCAATCGCTAATAATACGTCTCTTTAGATGCAAATTCTACACACCGTATAGGGAATATTATTTTTAAATTAGGACAGAGGGCAGTAGAAAAACGTTGAAATGCCGTGTCGCAACCCACAAAGGACAGAGGAACACATTATTTAGTTTGCCTTTGAACAGCTGCAGCACTAAAGTCCATGTACAGTTTCGGAAACCTTTTTTTTCCTCTTGGGTAGGTATAAATCCCTATCAGGGCACATGATATAATTGTCATGACCCATCATTGAAAACTATTGAAGTATGTATTTCAACCCTCTCAGTTTGGTGTAGCTTTAGAAAATTGCGCACCCGGAGAAAACTTTCTGTCAACATGCAAAATTTATTAAATTTCAATTCCTTTTAGTTAAAAAAAACCCGGACAAAAACTTCTCAACTTTTCTTTAAATACACAGGACTTAAGTACAAATTTTGCTGACCAACATATCAAAAGATGCATCCACCGCTAATGTTGTAAGTTTATTAAAAACAATTGACTGCGCCAAAACCTTGATCTGAGTGCGCCTCACTTGAAACTTGAAACTTTGACATATGCCTGGCGTCGCCGCCTCTCCCAGGATTTAGTCAACTGTCGTGAGGATGCGTCCCTGGTAGACACTATCAGGGACGTTTCTCCACTACTTTGTTGCCATCGCGCTGGGCCGCGACATATGCCAAACAATGTGGTGGATTTTGTGGATTGGGGGGGTTGTGGGGGGGCGGCTAACTGGGTGTTATCCGACCCGAACGGGTACGGCCACAGCTTCGCCACTGGTATTCTGCCTTAGAGGGAACTCTGCTTTCTAGTGATAGCTTCTTCTCCGGGCGTTCATTGGCTTCCGATGTTCCTATCCTTTGGTCTCGTTCCCTTCCCTGTTTTCCCTCGTGTTAGGCTCTCTTTATTGTTGTCCTCTCCCCGCATTACTTCTGTCCCCTTTTCCTCCTCCCCTTGGCTACTTGTCTTTGTGGCTGATTCTTCCTCCACCTCCAGTATTCTTCTGCTTTCTTTCTTCATTTGATGTTTGTCTCTGCTATTCTCTTCCCATCTTCCCATGGTTTATGGTGGTGTTCCATGTTTGGCAGGGTCGGCCTACCTTCCATTCCGAGGCACATAGAATCTTGTCAGCCCGGGTGATATGGTCTTTGTTCCTCCTGTTGGTATGTCCCCAGTATCTCATCTGCCTCATCTTCAGTCTCCTGGAAATCGTCTTTTCCTCTAATAGTTCTCTTCTCTGCTTTCTTGTGAGGTTGCTGTTTTCTTTAATATCCTGAGTGCCTTCCACTCCGCCCTCCTCAATGTTCGTCTGTTGCTGTTTGTTGGCGCTGAAGTGTTAATTCCGTATAAGATTGCCGGTGCTACGATCGTGTTGTAAATCATCATTTCAAGCTGTCCGGTAACGGGCGATCAAAAATGAGTTGCTGTCGAGTCGCCTTTGGAAGTTCAAGTTAAGTACGATTTCCGATGTAAACAAAAATTCCAAAGGCGACTCGACAGCAACTCATTTTTGATCGCATTGTATTTTCTTCGCTCGTATGAAGTTCCAGATTCCGTGTGTGATTCTGAATGCGTTGGTTATTCTGTCTTTCACTGCGTTGTGCCTGCTGAAGGTGCTGCTTATGTACATACGTTCCCATATATTTGATCTTGTGCTTCATGGTTATCTCCTTCCCGGCTATGGTCTTCTCTCCTTCTTTGTACTGGAGGTGTTGTTTCCTGGCACTCTTGTTATCATGTAGCTCTTTTCGTTGTATATTTGTAGGTCCACCATTTCCGAGTGTACCTGGTATCCCGATGGCCTTTATAAATTATCCGCGATTACGAGTAGATCATCCGCGTACGCCAGTAATGTCGGTAGTTGTAATTGGTCGCCTATGCTAAGGTTCCTCACCACCATCCTTGTTTGTTCTATAGCGTGGTCAAGTGCTATCGCGAAGAGCCTTGGGGAAACGGACATCCTTGTTTGATCCCCCTGGTTTTCTTTTGGTGTTCGGTTTTCTTCCAAAACCATTGTATACTAGTATACTCCCTTTGCCACCCGTGTATGGTTCTGTTGATTAGGAATTTGGGTAGTCCCAGCATCGCCCACGCTGTCATTGGTATATACTTTCTGTTTCCCCCTTGTTTCCTCCGTTTATATTTTCTCGGACTAAATTTAAATGAGCGTCAAGTAGTGGAGGTATTACATTGTAATACAAAATGCCCCCCCCCCCCAATTTTTTGACGGAAATACACGTTTTGAAGCACCAGTGAACCTAATCAAACAAAATCTCGATGCTGTCTATTAGTCTGTCGATCTGTAATCCCATTTCCGGCGAAACGATCAAACTTGGTAATATTCTTATTCTTAGACATAAACGAGAAGAATCGCGTATGTGCATGTCTGTTAGTAGTCCAATTGTTGGTCTTACTCTTCCCTTCTTACCATTGATCTTTCTTTCAATTTATTGTCCTTCTCATCAAACAGTCTCTTGCCTCAAAATACGGCCTATCCTCGTTTGCTCGGTTTGCGTCTTTGCATTGATCTTTAAAAAATTACTTTCTTCACTCACTCTTCTCAAAACATCCTCACCCTTTACTCTTTCCGTCCACTTTATCTGTTTCATTTTCAGCTAAAGCCATATTTCAAAGCTTTCTAGGCATCTTTTTTCTCCACGTTTCTGACCCGTAGCCCGCCGGCATGTATCAAAATACATGTATTTCAAATACAGTATTTGAAATAGATTTATATTTTATATTTTGTCTAATAAATGATTTTGATAAAGTATTTTGTAGTTTGTATTTCACATACAAATATTTTAGAAAATGAATTTCAAATACGAATAAAGAATTAAAGCTGGCATCATGTTTTAGTGATAAATACAAATCGCTAGCTTCTCTAGATAATTTCCTTAACATTAAGAAGTTATTTATAAGGTGCAATACTAGTCTTTGTTAATCAGCTCCCGTCCCCGTCGAACGTCTATTTCCTTATGCAGGTACAATTTCTAACAATTTGTATTGAACAAACAATACCTAGGTATAAGTTTTTTACCGGATTTATCAAACCTCCAACACAACACAACAACAAAACTGTTTCTTTTTAAAAGGCATTTTTTTTCATAACTTTCTTCATAACTTCATAACTTTTATTGTTTCCTGTTGACAATATAATATTGTATTAGGACATGTCACAAAATGAAGGAAAAAGGAAAGAAAACATTGACATAATTAACATAACATAACTTAAAACCTTGAGCACTTACTTACTTCTAAATTTTAAAACGGATTTTCAACTATACCCTCAATATAGGTAGGTATGTATTTTTTATTTCAAATATTGCATTTTTAGTTTAAATATAAAAACTACATGTATTTGGTATTTCACATACTGTATTTTGTTTTTATATTTTCATCCGAAAGTATAAAAAGTATTTTGTATCTTGTATTTCAAATACCTTGTTCCCAGTACTTAGTATTTTGTATTTGAAATACACTAGTGGATGTATTTTGCCCAGGCTGACAACACTCTTAACCAAAACTGACCATATATTTTGCGCACTATTTTTTTCTCAGTAAACTGTCCTTTTTACCATCCGCACGTTAGTAAGGGAGGTATTGCATTGTGGTAAAGAAATGACCCGCCACTTTTCTGACGGAAATACACGTTTTGAAACAGCGAATCGAAATCAAACAAAATCTCGATGATGTCGATCGGTCTGTCTGTATATTATATATTCTTAGACGTAAAAGGTGGAGGAGCTTTTGGGCAGAATAGTGCATGCGCAAGTGCGTCAAACCTCATTTCCGCCTAAACGGCTGAACCAATTGGAACCAAATTTGGTACACATATTCTTAAACATAAAAGGGCAGAATCGCTACTACACTGTGCTAGCCACAGGAAATGCTCTTATTTGCTGTACCTGCGCTTTTCCTAACTGTATCCTTACTTCTTCCTCCCTTTAATCATCCGCATTACTTTTGTCTTGCCTATGTTTACCTTCATTCCAAACTCCCTTCTAACTGATATTATTATCTCCGTCATTCATTGTATTCCTTTCCTTTTCTGTTACATATTTTATTATGTTTATCCTTAATTCTTTAAATCTCCTTACCGCATTTTCTAATAATTTTTCTGCATCGGGGACATAAAATACCCCTGACTCGCTGCTGGGAAGGAAAACTTACTATACCAGATGAGTAATAATATGTTTAATGTCCAACAGAAAAAAAACATTTTCCAATTACAAGACAACAACAAATTAATAGGTATAGAGTACAAAATAATATAAAGAAAATGAAACGAAATTCTAAACTTGAATGAAGTAGGAGGTTTAGGATAGAGGAAAGCGGAGAAGCAGCTCCTACCTGTCTTTGGGAAGTTCCACCTAATAACAATAATGAATAGCTTTCTGGCTGTGACTTAGCCACTAACCAGTATGTTTAAAGATATCATTGAAGATTTTTTCTTACTAAATTTGCGTAGGTTTGATTTTAAGACTTGATATGGTTTCAAATTTTAACAGTTTTTTGTGTGAAAGCGATTTCCGGCTTCTAAATAAGAAGAATGAAAGAACATTATCCAATAATAGTCATTTTTAGAACTAGAAATGCCAAATCTTAAACGAAACCAACCGTCATTTTCATTGAACTCCAGTTTAGAACAAAAAAAACCCTGACGAACCGAACAAATATTAGGAACCAGAACCGCAAACATTTTTAGAACCAGAGTCGTTATTGAGCCTTTACTATTCACTTTTTTTTACTAATGCCACCGTACATGGTTCCAATTTTGATATAGATTTTAGAACACCTGCTCTATAAAACTGAGGAGCATTTTTGTGCACATATGGACTTACAAAGGGCGGACACGCATCTGACATGCCACATGAAAAAGAAGACGTTGATCTTTTATCCAAAACCGTTAAATAAAGAAGTCATTATACCTACGTTTAGTAGTATTAATTATCCACTAGTGAAGAAACCTCGTCCTAAACGTCTTCGATTTGTATCGTGTAGGTATTGAATTTATAATTGTCACACCCATTTCGGTTTTGGATAAAATGGCTCGTCATTGGTTCTTTGTCCACACGAGAAAACACACATGACATAAATTTTTGTCTGCAATCACATCCCATCTTAAAATTTTACTATACAGTATATGTCTCATCATAATCAAACAAACCTCGTTCCTGGTTTGCTGATACTCCGTTTATTTAGATAAGATGTCCATTACTTTTACTGCGGATTTTCATGTGCTGTGACTCGACGAAGTTTATTAGGGGTGACGATTACGTCAATATTTAAATTCCTGCACATTAAATGTTTATGGGGGGGTTTTATATTCCCTCGAATCCGTTCGATGCAAATTTGGGATTTATAGCGATCAGAATGGGAGTAATGAAAGTGACGCTAACTCTTCTTTTATTTTTTTAAGGTTCGCCTTGCATGGAAAGATGGACCTCAATAGGAAAACCAAGTGTAAAAACACCTGCTCGTTGTTGATCTCACTTTTCCTTCTATTATACGACTCGCCCCGATGCAGCGCAGATTTACAGTAAGTATATTGCGAATTTCTATGTTTGTATTCTATTTCGGTTTTAAGATGGAAGTGTTTTTTTGTTTGGCGCAGCATTTCTTACAGAAGGTTTCAGATAAAGGGCTATTAAATCTTTTATCTTTAAAACAAGAGCACTTTGGCTACGACCGGAGTAAGCACTTCAAAAATCGGAATTTCCGCGTTTACAGATTCTTGCTAATGATTAAAGCCTTGACATATTTCCAATACAGTGGGTATTATACGAATAAGCATTTTTTTCGATACCTATTCTTATTCGCAGTATTTCGCATAGATCGCTAAAAATTTTAATATACCTACCTATCTAATACCAATTCAGAAATAAGAAGGTTGACATAAGATTAAGGGCCACTCAATGGCTTTTAAATTTCATAGTACCTACCAAGCTTCGATCGTCACATTGTGCAAATCGCGCAGTTTTTTTCTAGCAATTTCGATTTTAAGCTATCAATAATTACTGTCACCGGGGAGCTTTAATGGTGTAAGCCAACACCGACATTTTGGATAAGTTCGCGTGTATTCTACGCCTGGCAAAACGCAAAATTGTTATACATACTCGAATCCGGGAAAACTCTTTTGGGATGCAGAAACTAGGCCTATTATACTGAACGGGTTTTATAGCAGTAAAACTCCTTTTAGAAACGAGGGTCTATCCTGCTTCCTGATTCCTGTTCATTTTCCAGTATTGTATTCAACTACTCAAAATAGTCTGCAGTTAAATGTTAGAAAACGAAAATGTTTTCCATTTATAGGTTTACCAAAAACTAGGCACTGTATTCAAATTAATCGATTGTGTTGAATTAGTAATAGATTGGAGAAAGTGTGAATTAAGAAGTAATTAATACTTAACGCTTAAAATCCATGATACTGTTGACAGGGATTTCAAGTTCTGCTTTATCTTAGATTCTGCCTGAATTTGCGACGATGCTCTTGCAAGTGCTCGTTGTATTTGGGGAAACATCAATAACGTACTTTTTACTGCATCACGCGCAGTTTCAATGTGGCTATTTCATTAATTTACATAATTACACACGTTTAATTGGAAACCGTGTTATTCTGATATTGACGCATAAAATCTCCAAAACTGATTGACGTTACAAAGCGTCTCCTACTTTTCCTAACCGGTATGGACATAAATTGTGAAATGGCATAAAATAACATATGCTGTACCCCGAACCTTCCACTTCGCGCTTTGTGGGGTCTGCAGTTCGCAAAGCTTGTTTCCACTTGATGCTTCAAAGGATTCAACATCATAAATTCAATGCCTCTACAAATACTGCAAAAATTTACATACAGAGCGGTTCATATGTATGAAACAAATTCATTTGTAGCATTATTATGCACTAAGGTGAAAAAACTGAAACAAACAATTTTTATTATTAATTTGACAATTTAAAATAAGTAGTAACCCTTCAAAATATATTGTTCCATCCATGATAGCAGCAAAAAGCTGTATATTGCTAAACAGAGAATTAAATTAACGTTCTTATATGTACAGAGGTTCTCTGTATATTTTGACCTCCACTGATATTAATTCATTTTGGGAACACAAAAATTTCAAATAAAAGTTTTAGTATTTTAACTGTACTGACTAAAAATGTAGTAACCGATTGAATTCAATATACAGGGAGTGCCTAACAAAATATGTTAGCAATATCTCTAATGGACCACCCTGTATTTTTTATAGTTTTGGGTATTTCCTGATGATTACAAATGTATAATATTGTATGACATTAATTTCATTAAGACATTAGTATATTTAGTTATTGTGCTTTCTTAGATTAGTAATTGTCCTATAATTGGAATTTGATTCTGTTGGGCAATAAATCATATTATTATTTCATTGTTTAATAACGTTTTGCACTATTAAGAGATGGATAGCACATACTCGAGGGAGATGTTCCACTGCATTCAAACTACAGACAGATTGCGTTCTTAAACAAAGTAATCCGTTATCGATTACTTTTTCATTTTTAAAAAAGGTCGTATAGTGCTTGTGATTGAATACTGCGCATTTCTCTCGACATTTTAACGTATTAGTTTACTTATTCTGTTCGTCTCCGTCTTTTTTCAGATTTTGTGATGCGGTTTATTGGATTCGATTCTGTATTGCACACTTCCTGGGTCGTAAAGTCGCGGAGGCAGATGTAAGCAAATTTAAGAAAGGAACATGCGCTATCATAACTTGTACAGACGCGTATAATTTAACACTTTGGTGATTTTTTTGCGATGCAAATCCCCGTCGTCTTTTCTTACACGTTCTTTCGTTTTTGAAAAATTTATTAAAAGAATTCGTCTCTATTTATTGCCTCAGGAATTAAGCTACGACTATGGGAATTGGAGGAAAATGGCACTCGGGTAATTCTCGTGTAGATTTCACCTAAGACCATTGACCAAAGGTTAATATGTCGGAAAGCAGAATAATTACTAATTTAAAAATTCTGAATTCATCACGATTAATTGCCTCTTGAATTAAGCCTCCGAAAAATTCTATTATTAAATTGAAATAGGAAATAGGAAACAATAATCATGCATTATTTGGAACGATGAAAAATAAAATTTTTCATGCACCTCAGGCATTACTCGATATTTAACTCTCGGGTGACTTACAATTCCTCGGGCCGGAGGCCCTCGGACTCTGTCGCCATCGGCATAAATATCGCCTTAATGCCCTTGATGCATAAATAACGATTATCACTCACGAATACAAAATTTATAACAACGCAAACTATTGATTACTTTGGGTCGACATTCGAACTATATAAAACGCAATTCGCCCCTCTCTTTCTCGAAAGATCTCGAACGCATCCGACTATTCTAGAATTTTCTCGAACAAACACGTCATATTTTTCGGAAAGATTACGTCACGTTCGTCTTCGTTCTTTATTGCGGATGACTAATCTCTCATTACGCTTCGATGTCTATCGAGATTTCTGGAATGTTCGCTACACTGCCCTCCTCTTAAAACTTTTGCGTCACGGACGATGGTTGCAGCCGAGACACAGACGCAAAATTGATGGCGGCACTTGCACGAAGAACTCCTCGTGCATCTTCCATTCTTGAATAAAAAACCATCTATCGTATTACTAAGCGGTTGCGGGCTTCCTTTGGGGTTAAATCAACAGATCAATATTCTCACCCCGGTGCTCTGGAATACCATCTCCAACATATTGCGCACGATGCAAGCTATCAAGACCACATCCGATCTTCGGAATTGCCAGCGTGGTAACGCCATGACTCTGTAGTTGTCGTGTAGCGTATTCCAAATTCTTCATAACTTTCCTATTGGTCCGTTGCTTGTGGCACAAACTGCACATGTTCTGAACCACCCCTTCACATCTTGTTTGCAAATCACCCAGTAGAATCGTTCCCGCACCTTAACCAGGGTTTTCGTCACTCCTAAATGGCTTCCCGATATACCATCGTGCATGTCTTGTAGTACTTCAGATCTCTTGCTCTCGGGTACACTAGCTGCACCCTGGTGGTCGTGCCATAATAATTTTCTAGAACACTCTTCAGAAGACCATCTTCTAACCTTAACGAGTGACACTGAGACCAATACGCCTTTAAAACTGGTCCGTATCGAGATACCTCTTCCCAGTTTTGCCGTTTCTCGTCCATTTTCCAGTTTATCACTAAACCTAAATCGCGGCCCTCTTCTTGAGTCGCCCGGAGTTCATGCGGTGGCCAATCATCATTCACAAGTGAAATTCGACGCTTCAATGGTGCGACTTGGATGACAGTCTCCGGGATACAACTTGTTCGCTCCTTCTCCTTGACCCGTCCTAGTTTTCCCTGGACTGTACTGTCGAAACAATTTTATTTTGTACAGTAAGAATTTTATCTTGGACACTCTGTATCTCATCCTGAGTCATACCTCTTATTTCTTGTTGACCTGCTTCGATTGTAGCTTTCATTACTTGCTGACCGGCTTCTACGGCTTCGATTTTAGTTTCCATTGGTAGTTGACCAGCTTCGATTTTAGATTTTGTTGATCTCAGCTTGATCGGATTCGATTTTACCTTGACCGGCTTTCATTTCTTGCATTGATTGCAGAAGTTGCTCCTTTTTTTCGACGTAGATCTAGTCACTACTCGCATAAATTGACACTAATTTTTCACTAAACACAACCCGACACTTGACAACAGTAACATAGTGTTTTTATCACTTACGAACATCTAATTTATAACAGCGCGAACAATATATTTCATAGGCGTCGAAATTAGAACTCACTGAAACGTAATTCGATTTGCTTATACAGCAAGCACAAAGATTTCATCAGATCCGCCTTCGCTCTTTATCGCCGATGATTAATCTTTCATGGCGCCTTGATGCCTATCGAGAGTTTTGGGGTGTTCGCTACAATAGGAATTTATCTTATTCGAAAAGTATACAATAAACCCACAACAAAGGTAACAAATGCAAAAATTCGTTAGGTGAAAAAATAACAATCATATTCTAAGTAACAAAAGACAAGAAAGTTTAAAAGGATATAGTCTAATCCAAGTTTATTGAAATTTCCAAATTAAAAGTTAATTAGGTACCTGTTTTTTATTGAGTTTAGTTATTGTTTCTATTATACCCATCTAATAAGTAAAAACTGTCATCGTGTAAGATAAATTATATTTCAATATTAATTTTGTTTACTATCTAATGTAAAAAATATGTTATGTATGTAATATAAAATGTGTAAAATACGTAGATACATGCCATTTTGACTTCAAAAACGCATTTCAGATACGATATTCTCACAAAGTGACGAAAATATCAAAGCGCACGCCTATGACTGCTCTTATTGCTAACATGTATTGCTGTCGAAGTGCCTACCTCTATACATTCGATGCTCCACATTTTAAATTTTCCATTTCATATATAAATCGACCAAAAACGCATAAAAGGGGAAAGGAAACAAGATTTTCTAGGCGGTTAGCGTACTCTTATGATAACGCTCAAAAATGAAAACTTCTTTAATTAATTACTCGATCCCGTGTTATGATAAAAATCTGGACTTGTCTTAAAATTCATGTTGATTAAACGCGCTTTATTTGACATCAAACACAACCTAATTAGACGAGGTCTGCTGCAACTCTAAACTCTAAATAGCTACTGATAATTACATGCTCACTCAAATGTCCGGGCTGAAATTTCTAAATTTTGGTATTCACACCCATTGTTACTTGGATTCTCTTTAAATTGGTATTGGAAAACTATAATCTTCTAATAATAATTAATAAACGGAACGGAATTCATCAAATATTAATTTTAACTCGTCTTCCAAATGACGGGAGCTTTACGAGGCTGCAAGAATAATTAAAATATTATCGGCTCTAATTACATTATTTACTTCAATTCCAATCACAATGACTACCTATATACCCTACACAATCATGCTAAGTCAATAACAATGAAACTAATTACACGTTACTCTTCTGTATTTGAATTTTTTTATGTTTTCCATCAATCCGTAGGAGCCGCAAAATCTTTCTCCACCCGATCCTTTTCTTAATCTAAAATTTTCGAGGGAGTGCTTTAGGTTCAGAGGGTGTGCAAAGGGTTGTAATATTTTTATTTTGTAAAACGTTAAATAAAAAATAAAAATTGAACTGTTTCTGGTTTTTAACTAGTAGTACATATAACGCTAAAATGTGTGGTGACCAACCCTCTGTTTCTCGAAAAATTCCCAGTTCTCTATGAATGGGCAAGTTTTGTCAGTCGTTACTGGCCCATAACTAATTCAACCAAGGTTAGATTTTGACAACTTAACTTTCCGGTGCATTGACTTTTACCCTGACTTTTACATATGGAAATTCTGGAAGTGGTTGTTGAATTTTTGCGCTTTAACTGGAAACATCGGTTGTACCTAGAGCTTCCATGCAACACAAATATATATGAATTTGTTAGTTTCCCACAAGCGAAAGAAAGCGACATAACTTATTAATTTGTAATTTAGGGTTGGATTGGCGTTCGAAGACATTCTTCCCGAAGACAGAGCAACCTACGACAAAATGAGACCACCAAAGAAGGACGGGAAACCGACCATTGTTTATTTCCACGTCACAGTAATGGGCCTAGACAGTATAGATGAAGGATCGATGGTAAATCGTCGGGATTTACTTTCAGATTGACAACCTCTAACTTGTAGACGTACGCGGCGGATATCTTCTTTGCGCAAACCTGGAAGGATAATAGACTAAGACTGCCCGAAAACATGACTTCGGAATATCGTCTGCTCGAAGTTGACTGGTTGAAGAATATGTGGAGGCCCGACTCGTTCTTTAAAAATGCGAAATCTGTCACATTTCAAACGATGACAATCCCCAATCACTATCTTTGGTTGTATAAAGACAAGACTATTTTGTACATGGTCAAGTAAGTTGAACGAATCATCGCTTCTTTGATATTTTTTTTCAGGTTGACCTTGCGGCTTTCTTGTGCGATGAACTTTATGATTTACCCTCATGACACGCAGGAGTGTAAGCTGCAGATGGAGAGCCGTAAGTCATATTTACTAAGCACGTTTAGTTTAAGTGTATTTTTCAGTTTCTCACACTACCGATGATATGATATTCCAATGGGATCCCGATGTTCCTTTGGTGGTAGATGAAAATATTGAATTACCTCAGTTGGCGTTGGTAAAAAACTACACAGCAGATTGCACCCAAGTGTACTCTACAGGTGATCACTAAGAATGTTTGATAATTACCTACCAATCGCATACTTTTAGGAAACTTCACTTGCTTAGAGGTGGTATTTGTCCTCAAGCGGCGATTAGGTTACTATCTGTTCCATACCTATATCCCGACTTGCTTGATAGTAATTATGTCGGTAATACACCGAGAAAGTTCGAAAAGTAATTGCTAAAACTAATTATTGTAGTGGGTGTCGTTTTGGATCAAACCCGAAGCGGCCCCCGCCCGCGTTACCCTTGGCGTAACCTCACTCCTGACGCTTTCAACACAGCATGCCAAAAGTCAAGCAGCTTTACCACCGGTCTCCTACCTAAAAGCCGTCGATGCTTTCATGTCAGTCTGCACTTTGTGAGTACCTAACTAACTCGCGTCGATGTATCCCACTGAAATGTGCTTCCAGATTTGTCTTCATGGCGTTAATGGAGTACTGCCTTGTAAATATAGTACTCGGTGACTCAGATGGTCCAAAACCTCCACCTCAACCTCCCAAAATGGAAACTATATTCGATCTGGCGGGTAAAGAAAACTCATTCTTGTTAACGACCACACCCCGACCCGTACCAGCGGTGTCACCGGCGCAGAAGGCACGAAACAGAGCTATTTATATCGATAGATTTTCTAGGGTATTTTTCCCATTGTTATTTTTCGTTTTGAACGGCACTTATTGGATACTTTTTGCGGAATACATATAACCTTTAGTTGTAGGTTTTATTGTAAAAGGAATTGTATAGATTCATTAGGTACCTAAAGAATTAGACGGCATATTAGAATAAAATACAAAACTTTTCTAAACAAAGAGTTTCCAAAAATATCAACAATTCGATTAGGTGAGAATATACTAAAACACTCCAGCAGCTACATATTGAAATTTGAGATCGGTATACAAGATGTAGAGTCCTCAATTATTTTAAAACTGGCGATGTCAGGTTAAGGATCAAACTTTCATGTTTCAGTTACATTGGTTCGATAGGATGGGATGCTATGGAGAGGGTGTTGAAACAATCAATTCGATGGTTGTATTTTGTCCGTTTGTCTGGGCCCACTTCTGCTGTTTTGAACTACATTTCAGAAGGATACCTTGGTGTTCTGGAATTTTTTTGCAATAGGTCGCTTATATGGAATTAATTTCTAAGGTTCTCCTCCTCGACCCCTTAGCGGAAGGTACTTACAAAGAGCGACTGGCAAAATACAATCTTCTTTAAAACATTTTTCAGAAATTACATATTTGTTGCAGATTTCATTAAACGTGATACAATGGATTAAGTAGTCTTTAGATATACGAGCACAGTATATGATGAAAAACGTATACCGCCCAGCTTTAAGGTTGTAAGTATATATATAGGTAATTAATTGAATACTGTTCAATTCAAACATATATTCTTGTTATTCACAGCAATAACGTTATATAGGTAATCTAATATACAAGTTAATCTAAGGATATCATTGGTAACCCGAGCTGAAAGACACCTCCATAGTATTTTCAATGGTAATAACTTTAGATACTACATACCTTCGACTTCTCCTCCAGTACGCAAGTGTACAACGAGTTGGCGGTTTCGCATTCATCGTCCTGATTGTGGTCTAAAACTCTCAGTAAAGTAACAAAAATGATCAAGACCACCCTTACTTACCATCAACAATACATACATCCACGATGTGTTTGGCCTTAGTATAATAATCTTCGTCCATGAGCTTTATTTTTTCCAAAAAGTCATCGGCAGATTTTACTTTTCCCGATGAATCTTGCTGTGAATATTTAATTTAACTATCAAAAATCTCGAAATAAATGAATTACGTACCACTCCCGATTTTTTGTTTATGCAAGCCAAGAAGCATTTGGCTTCGTATGTTTTGGGTGGGGAATGTTTCAGTAAAGGCTCAATGTCGTCTAAGGCAAACGAAACGATCAGAGTAAAGTACTTGGACGTTTACAAAATACTACCTTCGCTTACACTCAACTCGGCCATGCATTCGGTTCCCATTCTCTTCAATTCGGTCTTCATTAACGTCTCCAATTCCGGGGAGATCTATCATACCGATGTAATTTAAAGCAGCGAGAGTAAACACTTACCCCGTATACAGCTACCAGAAATAGTGAGAGTAGCACGAGTAACTTCATTTCGCTTGGTGGATTCTGAACTGAATCTATCGAATTTAACTCTTCAGTTTTATACTTACCTTGTCTGAAGGTTACTGGTAGTCTCATAGAGTGCCATTAGCTTGATCGTCATTAAATTATAGATTTGATGTGATTAGCTATCATAATTACATATTTAAGGTGTGAGGAAGTAACAATGAATTGCACCTTTTGTACGCAATTATTCTCGTTAACGATGTTATGTAGTGTTATACAATGATGCTACCTAATTAGTTTTGTAGTGTGTAAGCAAATGGGAATATTTGCATTATATCCTGCTGTCATACAACGGGATATAGTGTGGAAGATCCTTAGAAACCAGCATCATAAGTTTACGCTACCTTATAACCAAGGCAGTGATTTTATGCAAATGCATGTTTTAAATTAATAATATGCCATGTGTGTGCTTTTGGATCTGAGCTGATCAACTTGAATAGAGTTCAAATAACCCAATTAATTTTTGCATATTTCAGTGCCCTTGTGCATAAAATATTATCAAGAGCATATTCAAGCATTTTTGATTCCTGTGTAGTTATTTCTAAAGAATTTTTGTCTCTGGCCTATTATAAAATTGCAAAGCAAGAAACTTTTGCGCTTTCCTGTTTTCCGGGTTTTGTGTATCTTTGTGAGTCAAAAATTCCGACAATTGCATAAAAAGCTTGCAGCTTTTACGTCTGCATTTGTAGTCGCTGCCATAATTATTAGTTTTTCTTTGGAGTTTTACGAAGCAGTACCTCCATAGTAGCATTTTCCTTCTCGTTGTTATCAAAGGGTAGTGTAAGTTGAAATTAATTAGTTTTTAGTTATATTTTGTGCATTTTTTTTTGAAAATTATACTATGAAGTTGTGCATTTTAAAAGAACATGATGCATATTTGGTGCATAATTATCACCATTTTTGTACATATATATGCGCATATTTCTACATGTTGAAGTGCATATTATTCCTTGCCTTGCTTATAACCTATGAGACAGGGAGAGGATATGGTATTTGAGTACGGGTAGGCCAGCAGATATTCGATCGATGGTCTTTTCTTGATGCAGAAATCAAGAAAATCGATTTCGATGTTGACACCGCCTCTTATTGGAATATTCAATTCATTTTTATCCATGCGTAATGGGTTTACTCATATAGCCTTTCAGAACGATTAAAATAACTTGAAGCGAGCTTCATCAACAGGGTTTTCTGGTGGTAAATGTGAGCAGGGCCGTATTTGGACAAAAATTGGGGGGGGGGGGGGGTTAAACCATGGAATTTGATTTTGATAATAAATTAGGGATTTAAAAAAAACTGTCATTTTTTAATAGGTGTATGTGTATTATATGAAAATATAAAGAAAAAACAAACAATTTAAAATTTTACAAATAGTAATCATAGTAGCAATTGAATATTTCTTTGCTTTTCCCTCGCAAAACGATTTACCACCTCCTCGGTATCAATTTTAATACAGTGTGTAAAGCGATGGGGTATACAAGAGGGAATTTTTTTTAAATATTGATTTATGAAAAAAATTTATTCTTCATGATATTTTTTTGCTTGCTTTGAAAGTACCAAAAACGTTTCGATTGTTTGTGGATTGATAGCAATACGCTATCTTGATTATAATGTAGAATGATAACTTTCAATAAAAAAAATTAAATTTATTATTTTTCCAGATATCTATAAATAAATTTTAGATTATCGAAAGGTTATTGGTACTTTCAAAGCAAGCAAAAAATATCATGAAGAATAATTTTTTTTCATATATCAATATTTAAAAAAAAATTCCCTCTTGTATACATCGCTTTACACACTGTATTTCTGTGAATGCTTAACAGAGCCGTAATATAACTATTTTTATACTCGCGATGGGGAGCGTTTCAGGTTTTCAGCAGATCTTGAGCCCGACCTTGAGTCGACGTAAGTCACTCGCACGCAGTTCTTGACTGACTACTATTGTGTTGTCTGTTGTGATTAGTAAAGGAATTTTTTTATCTTGAATGCAGAAAAGAATGAAAAGATGATTTTGCAGTTTAGAATTTTCTTTTTTGAGTAGTAAAGAGATTCAATTACTATTTTAATTTTTTATATTTACTTTATTTTATTTTACTTACGTTATACGAATTTATTTTCGGGGGGGGGGGGGGGTTGAACCCCCAAAACCCCCCTTTAGATACGGCCCTGAATGTGAGAGTGAGCTTAATTAAGTTGGTATTAGTTATATAGTAATAGCCACCATTGCCTGCTTTTATTCTTCTAATAATAATGCTATAGAACAACTATATTTCAAAAACTATATTTTATTGTAGAGCACTTCAATACAATAAAGTGCCTTATTCGATTCCGTGATGACCTTTAAAGATGCAATGGGAGAGTCTGGCAGCTGTATCGCATTTATCCTTTCCTTCCTCCACTGCAATTAACAAAAGTTAAGCATTTATGATACAACATGGCTCACTGTCTGTTCAAATTAGAACTCGAAGTAAAATATAAAAGTTACCTGTGTCAAAGCAAGTCTCCACGATCTTCAAGTGCTCTTCAAACCTTCCTTCGTCTAGGGGTTTCAATTTTGCCATCTCCGTGCGTATCTTGTCCTTGTTGAACTTTCCGGATTCATCCAACTAAAACGACACGTTTATTTTCGCTTACTTCTCAAACTATACCATACATATCCTCTTTTCGTCATCATACACGCCGCGAAACACTTTCCCTTCTCTGTCGGGGTCGGATTTGGTCCCTTGAGAGAAGCAACGTCATCTAAAGCAGCAGTCATGGAAGAAAGAACTGGGCGAATGAAACACTTACCTTCCGTCGCTCCAATTTCCGCTCTACATTGTTCAACCGTTTGCTTTATTTCCTCCTTCCATTCCTCCAAGTCATCAGTCTTGTCCTATAATACCGTACCGATTAGTGTATCCCATCTTTTCAATTTAATACACTCACCCCCTGTGCAAATAAGAGAGCACATGCAAATACGACTATGAGCTTCATTCTACTGCCTTTTCAGTATCACAACTAATGCTTTGCCATTTCCTGCTTTATATATTATTCCTAGTGTAAGGTCACATCGCATTGATTTTTATTATTGTTATACATTTACAAAAGAAGTAATTAACAAAATTGTAATTCACAATTTTTATATTATATAATTACATATTTTGAAGCATATTTAAAATTTTGTCATCAGTTACGCCACCTGTAACCTGAATTGTATTATGTGGATGTCATTACTTGTTTTCGAGAGTATTCCTATTAATTTGGTTAATTTGATGTTTAAATACTTACACGAATTCAAAATCACACAGAGGACATGCAATTTTTTGTTGATGCTTCAGTATTCAGGTATGAAACCCGATGATTCGTATAACGTTTTTTTCACTACTAGCCTATGATGACAACAAATATGATTATTAACTTGTCAAGTTGACTCTCTCGGCAGCTTTTCAAAGTGATTAATAATAAAATCATTATTAACCTGTAGCATTGAATATGGTTTTTTCACTACTAGCGTCTGATGACATGATTATTAACCTTTTTTCCACTTGTAAAGTAGGCTTTCTCGGCATTTGTTCAAAGTGGTTAATAATTTTTTATTATTAACTAGTAGTCAATAATGAGAAATGTCACGCTGTCACTTTTAGAAAACACAACCCGAAATTTCGCTCAATGAACGTTTAGACAAGTTCTCTAAAACGAATAATTGCCACCATTCGCAATTTCCAAAGAAATTACATACCTAAAATTATCACATTTTGAAAAAAATCGAACGAAATTACTCTTTGAAAAATCTCAATGACAGAACAAAATACGGCCTGTTTGACTTGTACTTCCACGTACTTGATTGACATGTTAAATTAAGAAACAAACAATTCTGTGCAACCGTTAACTCTCTTATCAATATAATATGTTAATTTAGAGGATTTCAAGTGCTAGTAGTGAAAAAAATAGTATATATACCACGGTAGAGAAGTCTATTACTTCGCACCTTACACCCCTCGGCGCAAGCGCCTCGAGATGTAATCTTGGTGCTCAGGCAATAATAGTGGACTTCTCTACCTTGATATATAATGTACTATTTTATTCAATGCCTGTAGTCAATAATGAGAACTGTCGCGCTGCCATTTTTAAAGATCATACCGCCCAATTTCGCCCAATAAACGTTTAGAGAACTTCTCTGAAATCAATAAACTTGCAACAAATATAGCGAACGAGCTCCTGGGTGACTGAAAATTTAATCAATTCTTTCTTTCAGTGTACAGTGTTTTCAGTATCAAGACCCAATTAAAAACTGGCTAAATTTTTAGAGACCCATGAGCTCGTTTATTGCATTTGTTACAGAGGGGCGGACGGACAGGAACTCCTGGGTCACTGAAAATTTAATCACTGACAATAGAATTGGAAAATTCGAAACCGTTAACGAGTTATCATACTCATACTCCTTAGGAGCTCGATAATAATTGCAACTGCTTTCATTTCCAGAGAAATTACATACTTAGAACCATCACATTAACTATCGAATTTGTTGCAAATTCAGTTTTTTTTTAAATGGAGATATTAGTAAACTCATAATAAGGTAAAGTCAACGTGGAAATGGTTGAGTCAGGAGTAAACTTGTTCTGGGAAAGAGATGGGATTGATTAACGACCTTTAAAGTCTTCTAAGATTGGTAGAAAAAAAGACAACACAATTCGCAGTAGAATCAACAAAATTAACACGGCGTTTTCCCTCGCGCGGTAAGAAAAATCATCCCCACCGTCGAACAAGGGCAGCGTTGTTGTTAAAAAACGGTTCCTTTTGTGCACCCAATACCAGAAACCCTTGCTTTAACAACCGAGGGTTCTTGAATAAGAACAATGCCCTGTCTACAGTAACAGCCACCGCCTTACAGTGTTGCAGGTTTATTGTTTAAGTAGTAGCAAACAGAGTAGTGTAGACGTTCTCAGAAAGTAATTAACAGTAACAACCAACAGCGCAGTCGAGCCCATTGTAATCAAGGAACATTTTTCCATTTAAAGTATTATATTACCAAAAGAATCGGGTTTTCAAATGCATTTTCCTGAAAGAAAACATTTGATAACGTTTATTTTATACCCATCCAGCTATACCTAGATACTAAAGGCTTCAACCCATTACATGAACGAGAATATAATCAAGAAACTAGACGTTCCAATATACGTACGTACGTTACTGTCTTCCTGAAAGATAAGTAGTGTGACGTGAAGATGGCATGTTCATTCTTTATCTACAGCGTCATATTCCATTATTTTATTTCACGATTTAAAAACGGTATAGAACCACATATTGTTAGAAATGTGTTTAATTACTCAAAATACAAAATAACACAGCTGTCCACTTAGGTATACATAATATAGTAGGCTCTTCTCATATATTCCAAACGGTTACTATTGGGTCAGTAAGTTAATCCATTTCAATTGCTGGGAGCCCAACCTAAATCAAAACACAATTATTGTATTTTAATTAAATTTAAGTAGCTAACACGTACATTCTCTTTCTCTGCAAGTACACATTGGTGCACGATTACTGCGGTTTCACACTCGTTGTCTCCATTACTTACTATAAATCGTCAATTAAAGAAAGGAAATATTTCCCAAAAGTTTACTCACTCTTGTCCAAGCAATTCTCCATTACTTGTTTAACTTTAAGGTAGTAATCTTGATCCATATCCTTCATGGGTTCAATTGCAGCCAAACTACCTTCTCTGTTAATACTTCCATCGGCCCCTATCTGAAATTACATAACGTTTACCAATGAGCGGAGGGAATTGGAGTAGGTGTAATACAAATCCTTCAGTTTTGTACATGCAAGCCAGGAAGCATTTGCCGGCCTCTGTCGTTGGTACTTGGTGGTTTACCAGTGGCGCGACATCGCCTAAAAAGACTGAGGATTAAATTGGGAATACCACGAACCAGCTTACCATCGGTCGCCCCAATTTTCGACATGCAAATTAGACCGTTCTCTTTCACACGTGTCCTTATCATCTCTTCCATTTGCGGATTGAGCTATAGTAAAAGATTGTTACTCGAGCCATGTACGGGAAGAGTACTTACACAGAAAATTGCGCTTAAAAGAAATGGTAAAATGATGAGTGACTTCATTTTGATACTCTTTCGACTGGCAACTGAAAGTATGAAGTTTCCGATTTTATACATGCAGAGCTTGAAGGATAGCTTCCTTGTCATCGCGTAGCTAATTTATTGCCCAAATTAGATAGGACACCTTTGTTTTATATGTAGGTAATTATAACAATTAATGTTTGCGATGTTGAACAAGACACTAAATTAATGTCAAGGTAACGTCTCAAATTAAAACAAGGTATTTTTGATATTGGTCTAATGGGACTTGTGCGTTTGAACCCCGTAATTCTAATGCATGTAAAAGATTGATTCCGACAAATGTAATGTATCTCCTTGTGATTAGATGAGTATGTACCATTTATTTTGATGTCAATTACGTATAACAATGTAGACTAACTTATTACATGTAACAATACTACAATGTTTTCTTTCTAGTTCAAAGACTACTTAAACGATCTGGAGGTTTTACAATTCATTTACCTAATACCAAGGAAAATTAAAAATATACAATGCGCGTAACACATTTTTTTTTGGCATACTCAGAGCTGGGCAGAATACTTTAAAAAAGTAGATATTTGAATACTAAATAGTAAATACTTTACACAAATCAAAGGTATTTGAATACTAAATACTTTTACGTCCAGCACAAGCGAATACTAGATACAGATACATAGAAAAGTATTCAAATACTTTAAAAAATAAGTATTCAAATACTTTAGAATGTATTCGAATACTTTCAAAAGTATTCGAATACTTTCAAAGGTATTCGAATACTTTCAAAAGTATTCTAATACTATCAAAGGTATTCGAATACTATAAAAAGTATTCGAATACAGTAAAAAGTATTCAAATACTGGTCACTCAAATATATTAAAAATTTAAAAATAAAATTTCTTATAGAATGTGGCCTGTAGAATCCATAATTTCCAACAGTACCAAGATTGGGCTACTAATTCAAAAATTACAGCCCTTTGAATTTTCTTTCGAAATGGGTTTCTAGTCTATAACTTTTGATTGAGACGTCTAATCGAAAAAGTACGAATTGTTTTGGATTCTACGCACCAAAATTAATAAGAAAAAGTGTTTTCCCGAGAAATTTTGGTGTAGTCGATTTTTGGTAGAAAAGGAAGGTTATACACTGCCTTTTTTTGAGCTCCGAAAAAAAAATTGTCTCAGATCGACCGGAAAAAAAATTTTCTTATAGATTGTGGGCTGTAGAATCCATAATTTCAAACAGTTCCAAGATTGGGCTACTGGTTTAAAAGTTACAGCCCTTTGAATTTTCTTTCGAAATTGGTTTCTAGTCTATAACCTTTGATTGAGAAGTCCGATCGAAAAAGTACGAATTGTTTTGGATTCTACGCACCAAAATTAATAAGAAAAAGTGTTTTCCCGAGAAATTTTGGTGTAGTCGAATTTTGGTAAAAAAGGAAGGTTATACACTGCCTTTTTTTGAGCCCCGAAAAAAAAATTGTCTCACATCGACCCGGAAAAAAAATTGTCTTATAGAATGTCGCCTGTAGAATCCAAAATTTCAAACAATTCCAAGATTGGGCTACTAGTTCAAAAGTTACAGCCCTTTGAATTTTTTTTCGAAATTGGTTTCTAGTCTATAACTTTTGATTGAGAAGTCTGATCGAAAAAGTACGAATTGTTTTGAATTCTACACACCAAAATTAATAAGAAAAAGTGTTTTCCCGAGAAATTTTGGTGCAGTCGATTTTTGGTAAAAAAGGAAGGTTGTACACTGCCTTTTTTTTGAGCCCCTCAAGAAAAATTGTCTCAGATCGACCCGGAAAAAAAATTTTCTTATAGAATGTGGCCTGTAGAATCCATAATTTCAAACAGTTCCAAGATTGGGCTACTGGTTCAAAAGTTACAGCCTTTTGAATTTTCTTTTAAAATTGGTTTCTAGTCTATAACTTTTGATTGAGAAGTCTGATCGAAAAAGTACGAATTGTTTTGGATTCTACGCACCAAAATTAATAAGAAACAGTGTTTTCCCGAGAAATTTTGGTGTAGTCGATTTTTGGTAAAAAAAGAAGGTTATACACTGCCTTTTTTTGAGCCCCGAAAAAAAATTGTCTCAGATCGACCGGAAAAAAATTTTCTTATAGATTGTGGGCTGTAGAATCCATAATTTCAAACAGTTCCAAGATTGGGCTACTGGTTCAAAACTTACAGCCCTTTGAATTTTCTTTCGAAATTGGTTTCTAGTCCAACTTTTGATTGAGAAATCCGATCGAAAAAGTACGAATTGTTTTGGATTCTACGCACCAAAATTAATAAGAAAAAGGAAGGTTACCTAAGTATTCAAATACTATGCGATGTATTCGAATACTTTACGAAGTATCCAAATACTTTGCGAAGTATTCGAATACTAAATATTTGTGAAAGTATTTGAGTTACAAAAACAAATACTGCTTCCATAAAAGTATTTAATTACAAAGTATTTGAATACTAAAAAGTATTTACAAAATCGAATACGGCCCAGCTGTGGGCATACTTGAACCAAAAGCTGTTCCAAATCTTCATGATGACAATCTTACACAGATTTTGGGAGTGACAAGGCATGATTATGCTCTGACCACAACCGAAATATGAACCTTTTGACATTATTTCAGTTATAGTATTAATGTTATAGTTTCCTTGTTTGTTCGATAATAGAATTTAACAGGGTAATCACAAAAAAGATCTCTATTGACTTTAAAACTGATTGATCAAGTTAAAAATGCCGATTTATTGTTGCATGGAAATCTTCTATTTCATAATAACTCATCAATGATTAATGGGATAAAGTCAATACTTTAATCACGTATTCAGTACTTACAAAACTTGATCTATAGTCTGTCTAAAATTGACGCGAAGTAATAAATTATAAATTGGTGAAATAGAAATAGTATTTTTGTATGGAAGTACTTCTCTGTCTCTGTCTATCAACTATATTTATTACTTGGCGTCAATTTTAGACAGACTATAGTACAATCAGGGAGTGGGAATCTAAAGACTTTTTGAATGATTCATCCAACTTAAAGAATTTCCTTTCATTTTTGAAGCAAAAGGTAAAAACCTTAAGAAATGGAAGATTACAAAAATTAGAGGAAGATTCAACGCAAACAGTAAAGGCACAATCGTTCAAACTACAAGCAGCTTCTAAACAAAAATTCAATTCCTACACTCAAAAAATCTTTTACACTTCAAATCACATGGAGTGTTCCAAATCACAAAATTTATACTTGTACAACATTTTCATGGTTATCCGTTCCTGAAGGAATTGATTTGGTCAACAGTATAAATTGTTTAAATCGTGAGCGTCAGTTGAATGCTTGCAATTTCGGTACGGTTGCTTTTACACGTTACGCAATCAATTTAAGTGCAAAACAGGTGCTTGTTCTTGTTGCAGGTAATTGATACAAAGCGAAATCGCCAGGACTGCATAGCACTGTTAAAACCATGGCGCCAGTCTAACTTCAGTAAGTCAGATTTCTGTCACAGACTTGGACTACCCCATAAATATTACAATTTCGACGGCTTTCAAGGTGGAATCCATTCCATTTGTAAAATTCAAATTTGCTCAAAAAATACTCCATTTGCAGCTCCTCTTGACTGTTTAGTTGTTACTATCAACAGTGTATTCTGTTCGAGCTTAATCAAACAAGTAATTCACATTGCCTTCACTATAAAAACAATTGAAAATGAATTTTGGCCCCCGGAACACTGCTATGAACATTTAATTTGAATCATTCATTACCTTTAATTTGTCAGATTAATAAAACATTGATGCTCGTCACTAAATCCATTGCATTATTATGATATTTAATTTCATTTAATGATATGGTGGACATGTTCCATGAAGCGATTTTAATGGTTAATGGAAGTTAAACATTTAAACAAGTTAATCCTCCGTGAAGCTTCGTGTAATTTCTGTCTGTTAATTAGTGAATTACATAATCTTCGCCTTTATAAGTACGCAATCAATCTAATTGCCCATAATTTAATTTAATTAAAGTTGGTTAATGCCATAACTTGCAATGAGGGCTACCAAGTGTGCCTCTTAGTGTAGAAAATTGAAGAGTAAGAGAAATGTTTTCCAAAATCGTACCGAGATGAGTCAGTTGCAAGTGGGAATTATCCTTGAAGTTATACCGCGTCATTTGAGCTGCTTCATACCCACCACCTTTATGCTTATTCTGCCTGTTGTCATATTTTGGTAACGAGTTATGAACTATGAATCCAAAAAATAACAAATTTTGCTCATAGAATGGGTGGATGAATTTTTAAGCAAGAAAAACATGGAAAATTCTTAATGGTTCAGGTAGTACATCATCACTGGCATCTTGCTAAAATATTTTAAGTTGCTTTTTATCCTTGGTGTAGCCTAAACCTGCAGAAGCATAGAAACGTATAGGACTAGGTTATTGTTTAGTATCAGAAACAAAAAATACGCTTCGTAAAAAATACCTTAACAGATTTTGTTCAGATATGCAGAAAATATCTAAAATTAAGGAAGAGTAACACAAATCATGTACGTTTCTCAGCCTTTTGCAACAAGGCTTCAAATAATTGAATCATTTTGACATCTGCCAGAAGTATTGTTGTATACAGGATACTGTTTTAGGACTTTGGTATAGATGGTAAACAAGATTTTGGATTTGATGACGATGATATTGGAACTTTAGAGTTACCCGCTGCAACTCTTTTAGTAAAGAAGATCTTGCATCAGGATCACTTTAACCGCAAGAGTAGATAAAGTGAAACAGATGATTATGCATTCTAATGACATCTGTTATTGGGACGCGGATCATGATCTGAAATGACGTTCAGAACATTTGGCAATGCTGTTTCTATAGAATATTTAAATTAAATTCAAAATTATCAGAAGCTTCACAATGATTTATATAGCTTCTGATATAAAATAAAGTTTTGTATTATACACGACGATAAATAGAATCTAACCATCTCGTGAAATTTAATTCTTTCAATGGTTAAAATACCTCTTTATCGTCTTGTATAATAAATAGCTTTGAAGTTTTCATGAAATATACGTAACTGTACTTCTTTCCCCAAAGATAGAAATTAAATAAGTGCAAAAAATTATGTAGACCGTTTGAGGAACCGCGAAATTGTCAAAAGATCTGCAACTTTTGCAGATCTTGTTCTTGCAACGCGTGTTACTTTGTTGTTTAATTGGAAAATCCAATACATGACTCAGTTTTATTGAAAATTCAGAAAATCTGCCAACATTGTGGCGGTTTCTCCCATATTTTTTTACCGCAAAAAAGTACAAAATAACAAATTACAAGCTTTGATTGATATTGTTTATGTTGAGGTAGACATTAATCATGTATAATCAGTAGAAATTTTAATCTATACTTAGTCACTGAAGGTTGTATACTACCATTGAATAAAAACATTTTATTCAATGATACTACGAAGTTTAAAATTACACCGGTACACATTAGTGATTTTAACTAAATCAAAGGATTTTTCACTGCCATTATTGCACAATTAAAACTAGTTAGATACGAAACATCGGTTCATTATCGGTTTAAGCCAAACGGATCCTCCAAGCCAAACTAAAACAAAATGTTTATTATTTTTATCGAAAGTTCGAAACAAGTACCTTTTTTCCCTCTCTCATTGCGCATGTTGTGACCTCAACGGCCACGTCACAAGCGTCGGTGAGTTTCATTTTTTCAACTACACAACAAATAAATTTGAAAACTGGAAAAAGTCAGTTCGGTTTTACCTAGAGGACCGCATGTTATGGCGACCTGCAAAACTTTCTTGTACATCTCAGGATCGTCATCGTGCAAAGGCTCCAGAAGCGCCATGGTTCCAAGGCGGTCAGGTTGTCCATCGGATTGTTGCTAAAAGCTGATATTTGAGCGGTTGGGTTACATATACTGGCGCTCGCCGTACCAGTCCAAACTTCTTTTGAAGGCAGGAAATTAAACAACGTCCTTCCCTGGTCGATGGTATCCTTTTCCGCACGAGATCGGTGATGTCAGCTATAAAACTTAATTATACACCAAGACACGACAAGATTAATAATACCTTCACCCGCGCCCACTTCCGAAATGCAAGCGCTTGCGAAAGTGGCCATCTTCATTCTAAGAGCGTTTTTGAACTCGTCTGAGACCTGAAAGGAAGTTTGGGCACATACGTTTTCATTTATTGGTACGCACTTACACCATACGCCGCAGTAAAGAGAAACAGCAATGAGATTACGCACTTCATTTTGGTTCTACATTATTACGGTGTTATACAATGCTTTATACCAAACGACTTCAAGGTCTCCCTATGTCGTTTTGGATTACAATAGCAGTTTAATTATCGAGGTTGCAATGTCGTGGTATGTTATTAAGGTATAACAAACCTTATATTTCTAGAACTGAAAAGAACGCGCTCAATTGCCATGGGAACACCTCTTCACCTTTGATCAGACCCTCAAGATTTTTTAATGAATTGCACGACAACTCAAAAACGCTTTAAAGTACAAAGCTCAAATTTGGTACACAAAATTCGCCATGACTGAAAGAAGAAGTGATTTCCTGTATTAACCCTCAGTGGCGGGGTAACACAAAACGCATGCTCTCACTACTTCATTATAGCGTTGAGTGAAAAATTAGCGTTATTCAATGATTTTAGCTTTGCGTGGGTTTATTTTTTATTGGCGAATTGTCACCGCAAAGGAAGTAATACATTTAATTTAGTTCGTCCTATCCTAATTTTATATTCAAAGGTCCTATCTTTTGATTAGGCTTTGAGTGTATTGCAGTATATTCAAGTATATTCCAAGTTAGCAGGAAAAGTGAAATACTTAGTACAACTGAATAAAGTATATAAATGTAAATAAAACTTTAATTGCTCAATGAAATTACAAGTTATTCTGGTGTCTCAAATTGAAGTCGCGCAGTGACAACTGCGCCATCTAAACATTGAATACGGTTGCAAGCTGAAAAGGAGAGCGATACGTACCTACAGAATTTATTTCAGATGGCGATATTAATACACTTGTAATTTAAATTGAGCAAATATTCTAGATGTAATTTATTCTTTGAATTGAGTACATATTTTGCACCAAAATTAATACGACACTGTTGATAAACTCCGGCAAGGCAGTCCCTCAAATTACATGAAATCCTCAAGATGGATATTATGCTACAATACAAAAAATGAATCCAGGAGATAAAACTACGAACTCTTTACCTCCCATGCAACCCTCTGTATAGTATGTGCAAGGCGTTGGGCATATTCACATTCATTGTTTTGCTTAATGTTCTGCACTAAAAAGAAACAAGCACATGCAATCATTCTGACAAAAAGCTACGATTACTCTCATCGTTGACTTCGTCCACACCAGCCGAAAGCTTAGTGTATAGATCCAAATCGTTACTTCTCATTTCATCCAGCAAAACTAAGGTGCCATCCCTAGAAAATCTCCCGTCTTGCATCTGAAAACTTTTCTTGTATCTTAAGCCACAAAGCCCATTTTAACTGACCATTCCCAAGTTTGTCAGTAAGCAGGCCTGCAGACACTTCACTGCCATCGCGCTTGCAGTTTCAGCTTCACCACTGTTCTGATCTGGAAGCAAAGCTATAATCGATTCTTATTAGATGCACCTTACTATCCATTTCCTCGAGACAACTTAAAACAATCTCTTGCACTTTCCCCGAGAATGTTAAACGGAATTCGTCACTGAGCTGAAGCAGAGAAGATGTAGTAGAATGAACTGACTAAATATACATGCGTACCCCGTTTGCCAACGTAAAGAGAGCAACTACCGAAAGAATCCCGTTCATGTTGCAAATTCGCGTAATTACGAAGCCGAGGTGTTTTTATACAGCAAATTTCTAAGGCCACAGGTGTCAACAAAATAATTCTTATTTCCGGGATATGTTTTATGTTTCATGTTCACGTTTTCCTAATTATCTCTGTAATATGACAGGTTAGAAATGGTAAAACACGAAATCTCCCCACGCATTTCGTGTTTTACCATTCCTGATTGAGCTACCCCATTGTGAGGTATACCAACCAATTTCATCATGTCATATGACAGGTTAATTAGAGTCGATCTTGGAAAACCACACATGGTTTACCTTACTGAGCCCCTATTTGAGAAGGTATTGTCTCCGTTCTAAAGAAAAGGTAAGAATGTATCGGAAGCTGTAGATGAAAGGTGTTTTCCGTTTTACTTCTGCAAACATTTGATCTCTTTCTATCGAGTTGAATGCATTTCGACAGTTCACTTTTAAGATAATGTAATCCGTATTTTTCTATAGCTTAATGAACGTGCTTGTCGTGTGTATCACAGCTTCACAGCCACCTTTAGTGTTGACCCCAAGTTGATGGGGGCGGAGTTCTTCTCCAGCTTCAGGGCCCACGTGTCTACAGGCAATTTTGACTGCGATACTAGAACCCACGGCAATTAGAGCAATTCCATTTTCTTTCTTAGTTATTTATTTATTTATTTATTATCCCTCTCTGGTTCTGGGCCCTCAACAGGCTTGCGCCCAATTACAGAGTGACCCGCATAATGCTTTTTAGATGTGCCTCTGCAGAAAGTCTTAAGTTGTTCTATACTACCTACCTTACGAAAACCTAATTCAGAATAGCCAGTAGAATGCTCGGAACTGGTCTAAGGTAATTTCCATCTCTGCCAAAGATGAAAAATTCACCTCAACCGTAAAGGATACTCAAAACTTTTTCGCAAACTTTCCCAGACAGCATAAGATTGGTGAGTTTAGTCGCTTGCCAGCTTCACCATTGATAGATCCAGTAGTCCTGCGCGCGAATTCAATTCATTCCTGGGACTGACGTTCTATCGGTAGGCTACGGACTGACCCGTTTGCAAATCATTGGATTGTTCTTGAAACGTCATCGTCGGTAGCCCTCTCGTAGAGATGTCTTCGCTTTGGGGGGATCTGGTTATTCTAGAAGACGATTAGGATAGAGGTGTTTTTACTTGAGCACCAACATGGTGGCAGCCACTTCCTTTTCAAAGCTATCCTCAGAGGAAGGTCCCTGTACTTGTAAACGTTGCCAAACTATTAACATTCCATGCTTGCATTCCATTATGCAATAGGCCCTACGACCTTTAACCAACTAATTAGTATAATTTGATCTCTTTGAGTCAAATTTAATTTCGAATAATACCAATCGCCAATTTTTTGCTCGCCGACTTCATCGCCTATCCCGCAGTTAAAAAAAAAGAGGCCTTATCGGACCACAAATGCCCCCCCCCCGCCCCGCGAACTGCCCCGCCCAATATCTTGAAAGCATTATATAACGCCGTTATCCGGAAGGCGACCAAAAATCTTAAGGGCCTTTACTCTGACGACTGCTATTTTGCAAAACCCGGCTACCGCAAAACACTTTATGGAAAAAACCGAACAAGGAAGTCCCACCCGACGACTTCTGGCCCGAGGAAGTAGCGCCTTTTGGTGCGGGACTAAAGGAGGCGGCCTTAGAACATCGAACCTCCCAACCAATGGTCTCCCCTATATTCCGGAGGGTGAGGGATGTCGTTGAGGAGATTGCGCTCGAGTGGAAAGTGTCTCACACGTGTTTGTAGAGGTGCCACGTGACCTACTTTGAGCGCATCAAAAGGCACGACGAAGTAATGAAGAATATGGCACAACACTCTAGGAGAAGTTGATGGGTGGTGGAGGTGGAGCAGCGCGTTTACCCCGACCGCCTGCTATATGCAAACCCAATCTGGCCATCCATCTTCCAGGCAAAGATTTCGTCATCGCCGACATCCAAGTGTGCTGGGAGGATTCGGGCTGCTCCTAGGCGGAGTCGTGTGAGGCCAAGAGAGTGGAATATCTCAATCCGAGATTTAGGGAAACTACCGAGCAACGATGGCCAGGCGAGCGACTCCGCTCTCTGCCGCTAATCCTGGGAGCGTAGCCGAGATGCAATGACCAGACTACGCATACCAAAATCCTTGTGAGCTAGTTGTGTCTGTGTGCAGTCTTGCCTTAGGTGGGGCGCCAGTTGCACCGTCCACCGGATGGATGTTCCTGGTGGCCGTCTGCGACGCGGAAGTCATTTAATTAAGGACGCCACCCTAAATAGCGCCGCGGGTCAGGGTGAACTTTGTGCTCGCATTGTGGACTTTTAAAAGTAAAACGTAAAAAAACTGGGGGGTGGAAGGAAATCTAATATCGGGCTCAAAAATTTTATCTCGCCGGCCGTCCAGTAAATAATTAAAGCTCATTTGAAAACTAAAAAAATACTGAAATGAACCGAGTATACATTTGGAAATTGACCAACAGGTGAAATAAATTGTATCTGAAACCATTCCTTCTGTATAGCCCTTTTAAAGACACCTAGAAGTACGGAATTTTCAATTTCAAATGCTTCCTTACACGTACAAATTAAATAACTATGTTCACATGAAAGGAAGTTAATCGTATCTTAATAGCAGCTCGTGACCAAAATTATTTGATTACAGAAGTCAGAAATAGTTATTAAATTGCAAAATCAAAATTATTATCCAATTACTGATTGTTACGGTATTCTTAGGAAGGAGGGGTTTCTCTGAAGCATGTAGTTTACCTCACTAAATTTGTAGTTTTAAGTAAGACCTCATTAATAATAACTTAATAGTTGCTTAGATATTTTGCAACAATCAATTAGTAAAATATGAAGAGAAAGAAGATATTCTGATCGCTCCAGGAAATATATATTTAAATAATGTGAAATCTATTACGAATGTAAAGTGCTTGTAGTTAAACAAATTTCAGTGGTAAATTTTGCCTGCAATTCCATTTAATTTAAATGAATGATTTCTGATTGTATTAAATTGGTATTTTATTTGACGATGATCAAAATGGAGGGTTTTGTTGCCTCAAAGGTACTCGTTAGCTGTTTTTCCGTTTTCCGCCCACCACAGACACAGATATTTACGTATATCTGTGCCACAGATAAATGATTAAACGAGCCATCCCATTTAGAATGTCCTAGAAAATATCTATACAACTTGCTGTATAGGTAGATACATTAAATTTTAGAAAGAATTTTGGAAGTAAAAGAGAACAAAAACCTAATTAAACCTTTCCCTCTTTCTCAACTTGGAACTACCCCAAATAAAGAGATTTCATTTTCGGGTCATTTTCGAGCTCTGATAATTAATTAATTACACAAAAGTAAATGCCGAAACGCACATTGTAGTTTTAATTTGGCTTAACAGGGCTTAATTTGTATAGAGGAACAGCACTTTCCTCATTGTGTAGGATACGTTTTTCTATGTACTAACTACACTAATTATAATAAAATGAAAAACAGCTTGGCACCAAACGTCGGAAGCACTTGAATGCGGGATATTTTTTCCGAATTACATCCAATGAATCATACGAACGGATTGAATCATCCTTTTTCGAATTTTTTCGATAGGTAAACAATATAATGGTAAAAGTTCTCAACTTTCAAGTATCTTAGAGGTCATCGCTTCCGTCCAGCTCCAGCCTCAAACGCTTTGGTACACAGTGCAAGTTGCGCTCGAGGAATTTACTTTAATCGTCGAAGTAGAACGGTTTGTTGAAATGGCGATTGTTCAAAACGAAGACGTGGTCGTGAATTGAGTTTTTTTTCTCCTCGTGTGATACAACGGTACCTCTTGGATTACTGGAATTATATAATTCACACTACTGTAAGTAATTAGTTATTAATGATCTTGTGGTTAACTTGCAAGTATTGAGATAAACGGCCTTTGTATACCTATACCTGCCAACAGGTTATGAACTAAAAATAAACTAAACGGCCCACGTGTTAATTATTCCCTAAAAAAGTGTTCGCGCCTACTCTTCTTTACCTATTTCGGTTACTTAAATTAAGAAAGGTGCGTACATATTTATTTTTTAAACATTTTGTATGCATTTGCACAGGTGCACAACCTGGCCGCGACACGTTGCGTCGATTTAAATTAAAACAAAGGATTTACTAAAATTAGCTGTTTGTTTATACGTAAAAACCTTCACTTTGACTCATTTTGTAGAAACTTATTATTGTTAATGCGCGGGAAGTCGCGATTTTCCCACAATTTCTTAATTATTCATTGGATACGTGCCAGCCGAGTGAAAACAATAATGTTCGGTGTAAGTATAATATAAAATTCAATGCTCTAAATACGATGAGGGTCGTTCGTAATGGTTTTCCATTGTTTATTACCCTACAGCGCGGAGGTGTCAAAATCTATTTATTTATTGACAAAAAAATCAGAGGTTGCAAAGTGACCTATAAGATGTAATGAAGTAATATATTGGATTTGCTTAGAGAATTGGATGAACTTTCGAATGATGTATCACACAACCCCTCCTGTCATTTAAGAACTGTTGTGGTTGACTTTACTGCCCAAGGGGATGAGAAATTTAATAGTAAGATTACATGTGCGGGGTGTAAACTTTAGTTGAGCCACACTGTATAGGTAAATGCTGTTTTTGATATAGCTAGTGATATAAGAACTGATACTGAATTAATAATGGTAACTCTTGTCAACGTTCATTTTGAAGCTTTATGTCAGAAGACTTCCTAGTACCTACTTACTTTGCAAGTGAACTACTGTTCCTTTTTTAAAAGGTATAAACTGCAAGTAGCACTCCACCCATAACGACAACTAATACAACAGAAGAAACTTTGAGGAATATCACGATCTCCGACAACATATGAAGCCTGGTAGATATCAGAGATTATTCGATTAAATTTTTTGGATGTAAGTCTCGGCGCTCTCGTCGAAGAATGTCAGGAATGATCGAAAAGCTGAAATTTCCAAAATCGGCGACGGTAATACATAAACGCAAAATTTCGTTAAAAAAAAACAAATGGA